GCCACCCCTGCCATGGCAGGGACACCTTCCACTGTCCCAGGCTGCTCCCAGCCCCAGTGTCCAGCCTGGCCTTGGGCACTGCCAGGGATCCAGGGGCAGCCACAGCTGCTCTGGGCACCCTGTGCCAGGGCCTGCCCCCCCTCCCAGGGAACAATTCCTTCCCACTATCCCATCCATCCCTGCCCTCTGGCAGGGGGAGCCATTCCCTGTGTCCTGTCCCTCCATGCCTTGTCCCCAGTCTCTCTCCAGCTCTCCTGGAGCCTCTTTAGGCTCTGGAAGGAGCTCTGAGCTCTCCAGGTGAGCACTCCCAGCTCTCACAACCTGGCTCCAGCGCAGAGAGGCTCTGCTGCTTTGATTTGTAGAATTTGGAGTTATCTGCTCAAATCTGTCATTAGACAAGCAGGAAACTTTAAAAATGCACAGCAAAAAGAAAACCACCTGAGAAATGGAGCACAAAGTTGGTGAGAAATGGTGAACAGGAGGGCTGGGCTGCTGCAGGGTCAGTCCTGACCATCTCCACCAAAGGATGTGGTCAGGAAAAGGCTGCAAATAAATACTCAGAGCTCTCAAATGCCTTTACCAAGGAAGTCACTGCCACACCACGACTGCAGACTGCACATCCAGACACAGGTTACATATAAGTTATTTGTGGGGGGTACCCTTTTATCACTCAAAAGCCTTACTCAGAAAATGCCTCAAGATCTCTTGTAATTTGTTTAGCAATTGTAATCCTTTCCATTAGCCAGGGTTTAGAGAAAAAAAGATTTGAACCCAGGAAAGGAGAAGGCTGAAGTGTCCCTATGGCAAATCCTACCATTAATGACAGACGTAGTCCCCAAGAAGTTAAATTTAATTTCTTAAAGCTCATTTTAAAGTGTAGACTCACACTGAATTCTGAGACAGAGTAGCACAGGTCAGAATCTGGCCCAGAGCAGCTGCTGCAGATAAGAGCACATTTTTCATAAAGGAATCCCTCACCCTTTAAAAGCTGAAGCTTTTTTTTTGGAGCTGTTCACATCAGTTTGAACTGAAAGTCACATATTCAATTTTTTTTCCATTTGGTTAACATATCAATGATTATTCCTTCCTCCTTTAAAAAGTTCTTAGCTGTAGCACAAAGTTGCACATGACCCTTGTATGTAAACCTTAGGCCTTAAATACCTCATTGCCTACTGCCCCACTCCAACCAAACCCAGCTTCCTTAAGAGTTCCTTCACCCAGGGCCTACAAGGTTAGGGCTTCCACAGCAGCCCCAGCCTCCAAAGGCTACCAGGAAAGGCTGGAAGGGTAGGATTTACAGTGGCTAACCCAGGGTGACTTTTCAGGGACCAGCGCCAAAGGGGCCCAGGGCCACAGAGGGACACAAACCAAACACTCTGGGACAGGCTTTGGTTCCTGTAAACTCTCAATGTGTTCCTATCACCCCTCTCTCTCTTTACATTGCAAATAGCCTGTCAGCATCATTACACTGTTTGTTGTAGAAAACATGAGCATTCATCTCAAAATTGCATCAACAAACATGCTCATTTGATTGCTTCCAAACCCATCAAACAAGGAATCAGGACATTATTATTGCTATTACTCATGCCTGAAGTTCAGAAATGTGAAGGCTAATAAAGTCATTCCATTCCCGAGGAATGAGTGTAGATGGATCTGTCCTTTCAGCTGATCTCCCAGCTGGGGGAGATAATCCACACTAAGAACTGGTGTCTCTGTGATTAATGGCACCTTGCAGGCCATAAACATCATCAGAATTCACTTTCCCTGACAAATCCACATCAGGGGAGGAAAGCTGGAAGAAAGGCAAAGTGTGCCACAACTGCAAAACTCCAAAGTCCACCTCGTTCTTAATGTATTAAAGCACATATTATGAGATTTGGTAAACTCATGTGGAATTTGCTGTTGGATCAGCTACCAGTTAACATATTACAAATATCTACCCAACCCTGCGTCAGTTTGGGCTCAGACTCAATGTGCAGAAGGCACCATCACCGTGAACTGTGAAACTTCACACTCAGCAGCTCTTCAAAAATGCATCTCTTCTCTAGGTCAGTCTGTAATAGCTATAACTCAGCCTGGCAGAGAGGTTCTGGCATTCCCCTGGAACTCCTGAATCCATCAGCCTGGTCCAAGTGCCTGCAAGAATGCAGTACCTGCTTCAAGCCCCTTGACAATACTTTACAAACCTGCAGAATATGGGGGGGAAGCTGTAAGACAAATCTCAGCCATGACTTCCATCAAGGCAAACAACAAAAGACAGATGCAAAATTAAATGAAGATGAGCAGCAGAGATGTGAGCAAGGATTTATTATATCCCTCTACAGCCTCACTTTGACATTCCAGAAAAGGCAGGACAATAAGGAATTCTGACTATCTGTGCCTGCCTTACCTGCTAGTGAGCCTCACAAGAGCCAATCCATGCAGAAGAGATGAAAGCTGGACCCAAAACCATTTCAAATTAACTACAATGCACAAATCAGAACCTGCTGTTCCACATCCCATAGGCAGAGGGGTGAATACCCAACAATGACACCCATAGAACTCCTGCTGGAAAGTGTCAGGCCCATTCCACACCCAAGGAACTCTGAGGAGGAAGAACTGTCTGTGACATAACCCTGAAGATACCCAAGTTTCTCTCAGACTTACTCAGCTGTGTGTGAGCAGTTTAGATCCCAAAGTCCCAGAGCACTTGGCTTTGTGGGCAAGGAGTCTTGTAGGACAAGACTTGTAGTACTTGTAGGTTAGGTCAGGGTAAAACAACACTGTCACACCCATTTTACACAGTTCAGCATGCCATGAGAGCGAAAATGGCTAAAACGGCCAAAGGCAGAACGACTCACCTGGTACAGGAACCCCCCCACTGCAGACTCAGAGCCTAGAAAGGGCACGGGACTTCAACAGAGGTGCCCTTATGCATACTCAGAGCAAGCTGTCAGCCCCACACCAACACTCTCCCCCTCAGGATTTCATCTTCTGCAGGAGGGCAGTGTTCAACTCTCACAGCAGAACAGCTCTGCCAGCTCCTCCAAGGAAAAGGCTCAAAGGATCAACACCTGCAGGTTCCAGCTCCAGGCGAGTGTCTGTGCTCAGGCAGAACTGCCCCTCTGATCAGGGTGGCACTTGGGTCACAGCCACAGCAACCTGATCTGCAGAGTCACAGTTACTGCAGAACACAAGCACACCCAACACTCTCCCTGCTCCAGCAGAGCACCAGGAAGGCTGAGGAGAAAGCAGTTTGGATCCTGCCTCAGCCAAGGCACAGACAGCAGGGAACTTCTCCTGCCTGTGTACAAACCCACGCCACACTGACCTCAGCACTGACTTCTTCAAGGAACAGCAGAAAGTATTTTATTGCTGTGCTCAGGTTTTATTTGTAAACTGGCCTATGATACGTGGTTTTCCTGGGTTACACTGCTCCTGGATCACGATGTTGCTACATTCTGTCTGTCTGTCAGGGGAAGCTCAATGCCAATTCTTCACAGGAGCGCTGGCTGTCACCACTGCCCGGCAGGGCAGAAGCACTGCCCAGGAGCTGCCGCAGCACCCCGCTCCCTTTTGGCCGCTGACCTCTAGTGGTGAGCGCAGGAGAGAGGAGACAGGAACAATGTTAATGCTCTCCATGAGGAACTGCGGTCCTTTCTCCCTCCAAAGGGAAGCCAGAAGGTTCCCCAGCCTTCCCTCACAAGCTGCCGTGCACAGGCTGATCCCGGCTCCGGGGCAGAGCCCTCTCAGAGCAGCCAGCCTCGCCCCATCGCTGTGGGGCTCCTCTCCTCACAGAGCTGGCTACAAACAGCAGCGTTGATTTACTTCCTTCCCCTCCCTGAGGGAAGGAACAGAGATCCTCATGCTCCCTGTGTAAGCTCCTGCTCTCCAAGCACACACCCTCCTGTGAGCCTGGCTTCAGGTAGGCCAGCAGTGCCACCTCAGCACAGAGCACCAAGGACATTGCTGTATTTTCACAGAGTCACAGAGCAGTTTGGATCGGCACGGACCTCAGACCATCTTATTCCACATCCCTTCCACAGCTGGAGACACTTCCCACTGTCCCAGGCTGCTCCAAACCCCGTCCAGCCTGGCCTTGGACACTGCCAGGGATCCAGGGCAGCCACAGCTGCTCTGAGCACCCTGTGCCAGGGCCTCATTTTGGGAAAGAGCTGTAAAAACCCCACAGTGCAGACACACCCACGGTAAGGAAGTCATTACAGTTTGGTGAGAAGGGCATGGACAGCAGCTCAAGGGTGCACAATGACAGCACCATGCAAAGGGCACTGAGAGCAAAGGGGGTCAGCAGATGGGCTCAGAGCACATCACAGGCACCCCTCCCCACCTGACCAACAACAGCTCAACCAGCAAAAACTGGGGAGCCCTGCAGCTGCTCCTGTCCCTAGTGCTTGGTGTGAGTGAGGTCAGTGTGACACATCTCAGCTCAGACTGAGCACAGGACAGGGACACCAGCAGAACCACTGGGAACAGACCCAGCAAGAGCCTGGGATGGAGGAGGAACTGGGACTGAGTGACAGGCCCAGTGTCTGAAGCACAGACCTCACCCTAGGGCAGCAGTAAGCAAGGCAAGGTGCTCTGGCAGCTGGGTGTTCCTGCTGCACCTGCAGCTCTGCCCCTGTCCTCACACCTGCATTTCAGTGACAACCCACAGGCAGTACAGGAACAGGACCTGTGTTCAGCCACTGCACTGGGAATCTCAGTGCAGAGATTTGCAGCCAGATCCAGTGTTAGCTCTGCAAGTAGATCTTCCCTCAGACTGGAAGTCACAGGTTACCACTGCAGCACTTGCTTGGTGAGCAAGCCACAGAGTCAGTCTGTGACTACACCCAACGCTCCCCCAAAGATGTTCTTTTTGGGGACAGGCTCTTCAATAGCTCATATTTTACTCTCCCTCTAACCAAAACCCACAGATTCAAACCCAGCCAGTTATATTTTAATCAATCCAGCTGCTCAGTGAACAAGACCTGACTATTCCATACCCCCTCTAACAGCAGTACCTTTGCTTTCTTCATGCGGCCCATGATATTGCCAAGATCTTCAACATCAATGACGGAATCTGTACTTCCAGTTTCCTCCTCACTACTGGTTTCAAACAATTCCTCTGCCTGTGGAAGAGAGAAGAGAAAAAAATTAAGAATTTATCTCACTGTTAAATGTAAGTCTAAGCTAACCAGTGAAATGAGCTCTCCTCATCAGTAAGGACCACTCAAAACAAGCAATAGCCTACCAAAAACCTGTAGGATGGATATGGAACCCTGAACCCCTTTAAACCCAAGTGCCTTGCTGACAGCAAGATTTATTCCTCCTGCTCTGCAGCAGCCAGCACTCCCAAACCCAGCCAGAAGAACCACATACTTTCCTATAAAATTCAACCCAGCAATAACTTCCAACCCACACTATATGGCTCAAGGGAGGATTAAAGTGCCATAGCAGTTCTGGGTCTTGCACTGGAGAGCAATAGAGAAGATTTCTTAGTCAAAATGTGCAATCAATAAACACTCCAGAAGAGAGAATTATTACAGGCAGACACACACACAGGACATACAGGACTTGCTCAGGTAACACACCCCAGCTGCCTTTGGAAAACCCTGGGATGCAGGCAGAGCAGCTGAGCTTCACCAGGTTGAAGTGGAAGCAGGTTAATGACTCACAGGGAACTGAAGGGTCCCCTTGGCCCTGGGACAAGGTAAAGGCTCTGCTGAGAACCCAGACTGGTTCCCTGGAGCATCTGTCCCCAGCCAAGAGCAAAACTCCCTCATCACACAAATGCCTGGCTCCATCACTAATTCTTTGGTCCCTCTTTCAGATGGCTCATTCTACTTGTTATTGCCATGGGATCTCAGCTCTCCTCTCCCCCTGCTCCAGAACAAGAATCAGGCTCCCACAGCAGCCCTCTGGACTGCAGGAAGAAGGGGAGAAGTCAAACAGTGCTCCAAATAAAATAAGGTCTCAAGGATTTTGGCTGTACCTCAGTATTGTCCTGTTCTGACGTCCCATGGTCATGGTCCGAGCTTTCCTTGCTCTGCTTCCCTGAAGATTTGCACTTCCCCTTCTTGCACTTCCCCCTGCAGGGCTTCTTTTCCCCTCTGCAGAGCGCCTGGAGTCGAATGAGGAATTTGGCTTTCCAGGCCTCAAAGTCAGCCTCGATGCTGCCGTGCTTGCTCTGGGCCACATTGCTGTCCCCCTCAGCCCGAGCCATGATCCTGCTGGCACTGAGCATCCACAGCCACCTGTCCATCCTCCTTCCAACCTAGGGCAGCAGGAAGGGTTGGAAAGGAGATCAAACCAGGACCAAGTACAAGCAGCCAACCAGAAAAGCAAGGATCAGCCCTGGGAAGAGCCAGTGAGCTGCAGGGCACTGCAGGGCAGGGACCTGGGGAGTCCCTCTCAGGTTCTGGCTCAGCACAGACACAGGGCAGCCCGAACAGCACCACAGCCCCTTGGACTCCACTGGAGAATTCCTCTGCCATCCCTGGGGTGAAGGATGGGCTCTGGGAACAGACTGCCCTGTGTGGTGCTTGTTGGTCAGAACGGTCATGTGTGTGACACACAGCCCCAGCTCTGAACACAACCTGTGACAAGTGATGCCATTTTTCTGTGTGAGATGATACCAATGACCAGACAGAGACAGTGCCACAGCTCACATCAGGGAATAAAGCTAAAACCCACATCATAAAAAGGAGCCGCGTTTAGAAGGCAGCAAGAGTTTACAGTACTGCACCCTCAGGTGATTGCGGAAAGCTTTCAAAGCTGGGAAATGAATTCAGTAAGGATTTACCAAATGTGTTACCACACTTCCCAGTGCCTGTGGGACTCATTTCCCATTTGAAGGCCAATTGCTTCAGACCTGAACTGCCCAGGTGGCCAAGAAGGCCCATAGCACTGTCTTGTACCAGCAATGGTGTGGCAGCAGGACCAGGGCAGTGACTGTCCCCTGTGCTGGCACTGCTGAGGCACCTCCAGTGCCGAGGGCAGTTTTAGGCCCCTCACCCCAAAAAAGACCCTGAGGGGCTGGAGCATGTCCAGGGAAGGGAATGGAGCTGGGAAGGGGCTGGAGCCCCAGGAGCAGCTGAGGGAGCTGGGAAGGGGCTCAGCCTGGAGAAAAGGAGGCTCAGGGGGCCCTTGTGGCTCTGCACAACTCCTGACAGGAGGGGACAGCCGGGGGGTCGGGCTGTGCTCCCAGGGAACAGGGACAGGAGGAGAGGGAACGGCCTCGGGCTGGGCCAGGGGAGGATCGTGGTGGACATCAGGAGGAATTTCCCCAAGGAAAGGGTGCTCTGGCACTGGAAGGGGCTGCCCAGAGAGGTTTGGAGTGCCCATCCCTTGAAGTGTCCAGGGATGTGGTACTTAGAGCTCTGGGCTGGGGACAAGGTGGGGATCAGGCACACTGTGCGTTCAGTGATCTTTTCCAAGCTCAATGGCTCTGAGATTCTGCCCAGGCCCTAAACTGAGGGCCTCACCCAGTCAGCACAACATCTGCAATTCCCACACAGACCACCAGCCTCATTCAGGTTGGATGCACTTCGTGCAGCTGAGGCTCTCGAGGAGCAGAAGCCAAGCAGGGAGCTTGAGAGACACTCACTGTGTTGTAGTGATCCACATAGGCCGAGTTCCCCAGCCCGAACACGGCATATCTCAGGCCCTGCAGGAAGCTTTTCCCAACACGGAAGTCACTGGCTGCCTCTTCCAGCCACTTGCAGAACCAGGCTGCGCTCTCCGGAGGCTGCCCCTCGGTGTAGGTGGCCACCAGGAACACACAGATGTTCCTGCTGCTTGTCTGGTCACACAAACAGGACAGGAGGGAAAAAGAAATCACTGCATTTTCCAGAACCTTCTTCTAAAGCAAAGAGTTACAACAGCCAGGCAGCTGGGAGAAATCAAAAGACAAGGCTGTCTCCTGCTGGGGTGGGATGGCACAGGTGACAATCCCAAGGGTGCTGAACAACCTGCACGGCACCTTAAATTAACAGAGAGAGGTCAAGCTCAACAGGGACACAGTGACAGAGAAAAGTGAACATCCAGCCCCATCAGCAGCTTCCTGACCCAACTCCTTCATCAGGGAAATGCCCCATGGATAAATATTTCAAACTCAACCTCACATTTACAGGTGTGTTAGGGGCAGTATCAAATGCTGGCAATTCCTGAAGGAATTCCCAGCATGCAGTTTCCAGCAAAACTTTTTGTTAGGATTAATTAAAACTCTCAAGGAGCAACTATCAACATTCATGGAAGAAACACCCATCAAGGATTACTACACATAAATATACCTCACAAGGAGTTTCTATCTCAAAAGCCTCTAAAGGCTGCAGAAGCATCACCACCTTCTTGTTCTGGTTCTAAACCTTGCCCAGGTCACTGTCACAGCAAAATGTTCATCTGGTGCTTTGAAATTCTCAAAATGCAGGTATTTTCTGCTGAGGCCTGATGGGCTACATTTGCATAGGCAGGGAAGCAATTCAATACAAAGCTTTGGGGATTTCCAGAACAATAGGAGAGAAATACAAGAGGGAAATAGCCTTGACAATCCCAGGAAAAACTTGTACTTATTACTGGTGTTTATGCCATACCCACCTCCTCTACTAACCCATCTTCTGGATCATAGTCTCCCATGTTAATGACTTCCACAGGCAAATTAAGGGAAGTAACAGCTTCAGCCAGAGCTTTGGCAAATCTCTGAACAAAGAAACATTGGAAGTTATCAATTACTTCAAGCCACACGAGCCCTGCTGTGCCCAGCCACAAGACCCCTCCCAGCACAAGAAGAATAATGACACAGGAGGCCTGGACACTGGCACTGCAATTCCTCACATTAAAACAAAGATGGAGTACACTGGCTGAGAGTTACAACATTACAATGTCACAGTTACACACACAAATTACATTTCTTCATGAGAAAACACCAAACCCAGCACTTCTCTCTATAAAGCCTTGCTAGAAAATTAAAATTATAGTGCAAGAGTGAACTTCTAGCTTTATAATCAATATCTACTGCATACCTTGCTTAAGGGGAGGAGGAAAATTGTTATTTTTATTTAATTTTTCTCTTATCTTGCACGTTGGGCAATGATTGTAAGAAGCTAATGAATGTGCTAATGAACTCCCAGATCTATACCCATGGCAGTGTTTTAAGGCAAGCAATGTTCTCAGATCCCAACAATATTTCAAAGCAATTTCACAGATGTGCAATAAAAGTACAGATAAAAGTACAGATACCTTTGCTGTGCCAGTCTGAGAGCCATAGAAAATCTTCACTCCAGCAACATGGACCCTCTGCACCTGACGGGGGGCACATCCATTTCCCATTTTGTCTGATGTTCCCTCGGGGGAAGAGGGATTCTCATGGGATTTCTCACCCTGTGAAACAAGAGCTGTGTCACATGCAGTCCCTTCTCCAAGGGCTGTCAAACCAAGAGCGTGTAAAATTCAAATCCTGGAGCCACTCTCAGCAACCATCAAAGCATTTTGGTTCCTCTCATATCCAGACAAAGACACCAGAACCCGTTTTCCTGACCTAAGTCACGCTACAATACCCACTTGTCTGGGAGGTAGCAGGATCCAGGTGAACCTAAGTCCTGCAGCAGATCTTCACCCACCTGAAGGAGGAGGTTTTCAACTCCTGAATGGCTTAATTCCTCCCATCCCAAAACCAGCCCAACCCTGTCATCAGCATCATGAAAACAGAAGGTGCAAACACTGGGCACAAGCAGAGGGGTTTACCTGGAGTGACAGAGCAATGCAGGGGGACACATTCTTCCAGGAACAGTGGGAGGTGTGTCCTGCTGAGCTCTGCCCCAACGTCAGAGCAACAAGAGCATTTAATGACCCACAGACACAAACAAGCCAGGCTGAGGATCATAACCAGATAACCAAACTGCATCTGGGATTTGCAACACCCTCAGCAGGCCCACAGCAGGTGCCTTTATCCAATAACTACTCACTTCCACCCAGGTTTTTGGGGTCTTCTCAGAGAGAAGTGCTGACAGGCTCAATTACCTTCCTTTTGGTTCTGGTGGTGGTGAAATGAATGACAATCCAAAGGCTGATCCCAAAAGCAATAGCAGAATAGATGTAAAATCTGTGCAGCCATATGGACACCAGGCAAGTATGGAAGTAGCTCCACATATCCATTGAGACATCTAAAGCTGGAATGTCACAGGTTCCTACAGAGTGAATATGGAATGAGTACACACAAAATAATCACACAGTACCCACAGCCTCACATCATCAGCTATTGCCCAGGCTTTGCAGAAAACAGCTTCTGGCTAAAGACAAGGCACTAAAATTGAATCAAGAAGCCTTCACCTCCTCAGGTGTGTCAGATGAGCTCCAAGCTAGCATTCCATACTGTCAGAGGGAAACTCGGGGTTTTTCCTTGCTAGGGCAGCTCTGTTACAAGGAAAAGCAGAAAATATTTGTGCTGTCCAAGTGTCTGAAAGGAAAAAGTCCTCGTGAATCATCCAGTGGATCATACTGGCTTTAGTTTTACACAAACCAAACAACTGCAGTTCTCTGGAATGAGAAAGCTCCAGTCCAAGGGAAATCACCTGCACAGAACGTTCTGCTGAACACAACCCTTGCTTACACACATTTGATGCCACGCTGATTACCAACAGAGTTTCAAGGGCAGACTGAAACATGGATTCAATTAGAAACACTTTCACAGAATTCTATGATGCAAGTGAAGCTTGATTTGGAACCACTGAGATGTTTCAGGTTGGTTCAGAACATTCAGGGCACAGTAAGCCAGGGTACAGCCAGGAATGCACCTGCAGGGTGTCTGGGAATATCTATTTCATATGGAACATTTGGGCACTCCAAAAAGGCTAGTTTGTGATATTTATTGACAGAGGAACACAGCTAACACCCTTCTACTGTCATCTCCAGTTTAGATCTTGTTTTTGCAGATATCAGTCGAGACCATGGAATCCAAGTATTTCCAAGAGGCTGGAAACTCGTACTGGCTGCTACTCAAGTTATCAGAGCAAAGGCTTAAGGGGATGCCCTTCAGCCCTCCAGCAGCAACACCAAGACTCACACTAGAGAAGAGCCAAGAGCACTTGCCCAGTGTTCCCAGTTTTACTCAAACCAGCTATAGGGATTCCCTTCACCTCCATACAGCTTCCTCAAATGCAACAGATGCTACATATATTCAAGAGAATTTTAGCTGCAAAACAGGCACCCACACACGTGCTCACTATTATCCCCTACACAACTACACAGCCCCTTATAGTTATCACCCCACAAACACACACATACACCCCAGCTTCGTGGTTATTCCTCCTCTCACAGTTAATGCCCCTCTCTCCCCCAAAATGCCCCAAGGCTTTACCCCACCTTCCCCTGCCTCTCACGGTTATCATCCCACCACCCTCACAATTATTAAACACCCCCACCTCAGAGTTACTACGCTCGTACACCACTTACGGTTAACAAAACCCCCACGGTCATTACCCTCACCTCCCTCCACAGCCCCCTCTCAGTTACCAGCGCTCACGCACACGGTTGTTATATCCCCCGTCACGGTTATTAGCCCATACACACACTATTCTCCCACAAACTCGGCTATTAGCTCATACACACAGTTATTACCCCACAAGCACGGTTATTACATCCCCCCTCACGGTTACAGCCTCCACGGACACAGTTATTACAGTTATTACCCCACGGACACGATTATTCTGTTTCCCCCATCACGGCTCTCTCCCTCTGTCTCTCTCTCTCACACACACACACAGCCATCACGCCGTCCCCTCCCGGCTCCCCCGCCCGGCACTGACCCCGCTCCCGCCCGGTTCCCCTCAGGCCGCCATGCGCCGCTCCCGCCCCTTCCGCCCGTGCCGGCGCGGCCGCCATTCACTGCCGGGCCGGGCCGGGGGCGGAGCGAGCGGCCGCCGCCATGTCCATCTTCACCCCCACCAACCAGATCCGCCTCACCAATGTGGCCGTGGTGCGGGCACGGCGTGCCGGGAAGCGCTTCGAGATCGCCTGTTACCGCAACAAGGTCATGGGCTGGCGCAGCGGAGCGTGAGTGCCCGGGGAGCGGGCGGGGAGGCGGCTCGGGCCCGGCGTGGGGCCCGGGAAAGTGCCCGTGTGGGGACCCGGGTGTGATGGGGTCGTACCGGGCACCCCGTGTGGGGACTCGCTAGTGGCGCGGGAGGGGAGCCTGTGTGAGGACCGGGAAGGGCCCGGGGTGTGGGAGGGGGGTCGGCAGTGACCGTGCAGGACCCGGCTGTGGGGCCGGGGATCGTGCGAGGCCCCGGTCCCCCGATCTGACCCCGGGAGGAGGCGCGGGGCCGATAACGGGAGCACCGTGCCCGTGCCTGGGCAGCGACACCTCTGCGATGGAAGGTTCCAGCTGTGCTGAGTCAGCCCGGGGCAGCGGGAGCTCTTTCTCCTCGCTGAACACAGCTGTGCTCCTGGCATTGCTGCTTTCTTGGAGAGGGGCTTTGGGCAAGGCATGGAGTGCCCCACAAGGGGCAATGGTTTCAAACTGACGAAGGACCGGGATGGATAGATGGGATATTGGGAAGGAATTCCTCCCTGGGAGGGTGGGCAGGCCCTGGCACAGGGTGCCCAGAGTAGCCGTGGCTTCCCCTGGATCCCTGGCAGTGCCCAAGGCCAGGCTGGACACTGGGGCTGGGAGCAGCCTGGGACAGTGGGAGGTGTCCCTGCCATGGCAGGGGTGGCACTGGCATCATTCTGGGATTAATCTGAGTTTTCTGCATTTGTCTTAATCTCTAGGGAGAAAGATCTCGACGAGGTCCTGCAGACACACACAGTGTTTGTCAATGTCTCCAAAGGCCAGGTGGCAAAGAAGGAAGATCTGGTTAAAGCATTTGGGACAGATGACCAGACAGAAATCTGTAAGATGGTAGGTTTCACACACCTTGCTTTATAAGATGTGAGAATATTTAATCACGCAGTTAGGTTAGTTTGTACTGAAGGGCATTTCTAGAATGCTGCTATAGGTGAAAGGGTTGCTTGTTAAGAAATGGGTAAAAAGGAGCCGTAGCTCTTTTTATAATTTTAAATTTGGCATATGCATGTGGCTAGAAAGAATTCTGTCTAACACACAACTTGCATGCACTGATGTGTCTGGACACAGCCAGCACTGAAGAGCTCCTTACATAAGATAAGTTATTAAGAATCCAGAGAAAAGAAGGGGATAGTTGCTTACTTTGGAGAGCTCACTTAGGTGATAGTAAAATTCTAATTTCTTAGTCCTTAATGGTGGGATATGAACTATGGACTTGCTGTGGTTGATAAGATTTCAGTAAATCTCTTGAGTCAGCATTGCCCTGGCAGCCAGGAGGGACATCCCTCTCCTGGGGTCACCAGGCCCAGTATCAACAGCTGGGCTAGGGAGAGGATTGTCCTACTCTGCTCTGGGCTGGCGCAGTTTTGGGTGCCACAATATAAGAAACATATGAAGCTGTCAGAGTCCAGAGAAAGCTACAAAGAAGGTGAAGAGCCTGGAGGAGCCATGCAAGGAGCAGCTGAAGGCACGTGCTCTGTTCAGCCTGAGGAGACTGAGGTGAGGCCTCATCGGGGTCTGCAGCTCCTCGTAAGGGACAGCTCTGATCTCTGCTCTGTGTGACAGGGACAGGACCCAGGGAATGGCTGGAGCTGTGCCAGGGCAGGTTTAGGTTGGATTTTAGGAAAAGGTTCTTCCCCCAGAGGGTGCTGGGCACTGCCCAGGCTCCCCAGGGAATGGGCACGGCCCCGAGGCTGCCAGAGCTCCAGGAGCTCCAGGGATGCCCAGGGTGGATTGTTGGGGTGTCTGGGCAGGAACAGGGCTTGGAATGAGTGATCCTTGCGGGATCCCTTCCGGCTTAAGATATTCTGTGAAATCTGTGCTTCTCTTGCTGCTGTTTAATGTTTCTGGGGTGAATTTTTTTGTCTGAAGCCTTTCCAGTGCTGTCTGTTGTAATGATTCACATTATTAATTTGGTTATTGTTTGCTGCACTTCAAATCTCACCCAACCTTTCAAGCAGCTGTCAAATTTAACAAAGTTACTCGAAGTTGTCAAATTTAACTTGTCACTCTTCAAATCCAGGATGCTCACTAACCGGTTTCTGTGGATAAAACAGATTTTGTCCAAAGGGGAGCTGCAGGTGTCGGACAAGGAGCGGCACACGCAGCTGGAGCAGATGTTCCGAGACATCGCCACCATCGTGGCTGACAAGTGCGTGAACCCCGAGACCAAGCGGCCCTACACAGTGATCCTCATCGAAAGGGCCATGAAGGACATCCACTACTCTGTCAAACCCAACAAGAGCACAAAGCAGCAGGTGAGTTTCCTCAAGTATCCTGCTCCGAGGTGCTGCCATCTGGTGTAATTCCTCGGGTCTCAGCCACAGAGGGATCAGCAGAGCCCTGGGGTCTGAGGCCCGCACAGGGATTACTCAGCCATCTGGCAGCTGAGTGCTGGAGAGAAGCAGCTCCTGAAACTCAGGCAATTTGTTTGCTAAGAATTCAGGAACGGGAGAAAGAAAGGAAAAAAGCCAACAGTGATACCCTTAGAGCAGAAATAAAAGGTTTATGATTTATGCTAATTGAGGTGGTATATCAGGTTTGCATCTGAGCCATGTGGGTTTGTGGTGTTTTGCAGTATAGCTATTTAATTTTATTTCAGACAGCTTTTAAGTGTTCAAAGTGATCACAAACAAGTCAGCTTTTTCTTGTTCATCTGTCTAAAGAGCGTGATAGCAACCCCCCTGCAGCAGAGCAGCAGTGACCAGCACTGAGAGGTGGCTCTGAAGCTGGCAAAAAGGTTTGAGATTTGGATCTGGGTGCTGGGTTTTAAGCAGGTGTGCAAATGCTCTTTTTCTCCAACAGGCCCTGGAAGTGATCAGGCAGCTGAAGGAGACCATGCAGATTGAACGTGCTCACATGAGGCTGAGGTTTATCCTGCCAGCAAAGGAGGGCAAGAAGCTGAAAGAGAAGCTCAAGCCACTGATTAAAGTTACCGAGAGTGAAGACTTCCAGGAAGAGCTGGAAATGGTAAGCAAAAAGCAGTCCCTGGGGTTCAGGTTTGATTTGAATTACACATATGTATTTTACTAGGAGGTTAATTCATAGATGGAAGTTGTTCAGATAAATGGAAGGCTTTGCAGAGACCCTGAATCAGAGCTGCAGTTGGGAATTTTTAATTTCACACAGTCTTAGTGATGTGGGCATGGAAAAGCAGCCTTTGGTATCCAGAGCAGGTTGCTGCTCCAAGCTGAGGAGTGCACAGTCAATTCCTCTTAGCAGTGATGATCCTGCAGCACTGATAAGTTTCTCTCATATGTGGAATGTTACTGTTACTTATTTGGTGGTTTCTGTCTGGATTTTAAGGATGACTAATTTTTTTTTTTTTTAGTGTGTGGTAAAGCAAAATTTGGTATTAAAATCTTCATACAAACAGATTAGAATTCAGCAATTCCAACTGGCAAAAGCCATGTCCAGCATGGAGAACTGGAACTATAGAGCTCTGTGGAAAGATTGCTGCCAGACAGAGTTTGTATACTCTTCAGAGTCCTCCTCAGTAACTAACTAGGACTGTTTTAATGAAAGTAAATGTTAGGCCTTGGGTAGGGGTGATGAAATCCAAATGTTCTTGGCTGACTCATGAAATGTGGAACATTCCAGGTGTGCCTTATTGACCCAGGCTGCTTCAGGGAGATCGACGAGCTGATCCGCAGTGAGACAAAAGGGAAAGGATCCCTGGAAGTGCTCAGTCTGAAGGATGTGGAGGAAGGAGATGAAAAGCTTGAATAACAAATCTTCCTGCAGCAGATCTGCTTCAACAACCTCCCTGCAGTGACTGGTGTAGCCAATCTTCTGTTAGCCTTCGTGGTTTTTTCCAATCTCTTGCTGCCAAATATTTTCTGACACTAATCCTTTGGGATTTTTCCATGCAGTGTGGGTTGGGTTTTTTTATCATTTTACACTTGCTTGGTTTACAGATGTCTTTGCCTGTAAGAAGATTTTGTGTCAGAGTTGCACTAATAAGGACTGAGTTAGGGTGTGGTACAAGGTTACTCTGGCTTTGCTTTAGTTTCAGGGTTGCTGTTGAAGAGTGTTTGAGTGATTTGGTGCCAATTGTTTGTACCCTCAGGTTGTCAGTGTTGAGTGGAAGATTGCACTGTTCATGGAGGAGTGGCTTTGTATGTGAGGAGAGGGACCTCAAGAAAAGAGAGCTGCATTTTCTCTTCTAAACAGGTGCAGTGTGGATCATGTCTAGAAATCAGTGTCTTGGCAGCATGAAAACTGACTTAAGCTTCCATAGTTGGCTACTTGGTAATTAAAGTACTTCAAAGGACCATTCATAAAGAATTCCTTCACTGGCTATAGCAGCACTTGCTGACGTAGGGATGATGTTCTCCAAATAACTTATTTGTAGAATATATTTAGCTACATTAATAAAAACAAATGATCATCTATTTATATATTATAGATACAGAAAAAATAAGATACTTATTTTTATTAATAGTAGAGGAGATATCCCTGGCTGTGGCAATGCTTTTGTAGGCTGAGGGAGTAGCCTGTGCTTGGGAGCTGCTGCTTTCACATGATAAAATGAATCTCAGGCAGTGGTGGCCTCTGGCCATGGAGCCAGACAGGCTTTTGTTGGACAGTAATTCCCAACAGGAATTGTTTGTGTGTGCCCCTTTGCTTTTTAGTGCAACAGAACAATTCTGGCAGCTGTCCTTTATCCTCTGTCCTTTTTTTTCTTTTGCTGCTCTCTAATCCATGCACGGAATTACCAGCCAGCTCCTGAGGCATGGGATATAGTTCTTGCTAATTCTGTTAAATCTTCCTGCAGCTGTGTCAAACAAATGATTTAAAGTTGAACTGGGGTATTGCAAAGAAAAGGGGAAGAGAGGACAGCAATGGGGGAAGGAGATACTAAAAATACAGAGCACCACCAGGCAAAGCAGATATGGTTCAGTGACTAAAAGCTAAATCAGCAGGAATTTGAGGAGCCTTTAATATGACATTCCTGTTTCCATGCAGATAGCAGGCAGCAGGTGAAGAGCTGTGGGCCAGGCAGGGAGGAGATCTCTCCCAGGTGAGCCTGGTGCTCTTTGGTTGTTCGTGCCTTCCAGAGACTCCCCTCTTCTGTGACACTTAACGGAGCTGGGTTTGTGCTGCTGACCTTTCCTCTGCACCTTTAACTCATTGTGAATTTCCTGGAATTTCATCAGGGAGAGTGGAAATCAGCTGGAGGAGGGGAGGTTTGGCATGTGAGGAGGCTGCTGGAGCCTCAGTCCAAGGCTGCCCCTTGGGAGTGGATTTCAGCAGCAGTTTGTGCAAGGCCGGGATCAATTTCTTCAGCAGTATTTTGGGAGGATCTGCCTCTCTAGAGCCTCAGTTTTACTGAGGGCAGGTGAAAAAGAGATTCTTGAACCACTTTATCCATTTTAAAATGCTTTTGTTTGCTCTCAGGGGTTTAAAAGCTGCCTAGTAAATGCAGGGGTGTAGTGACAGGATATGCCAGGCAGACAGGGCTCAATGTGGACAGCTCTGTGTGCACAGGCAGCTCCCCTGGGTACCACCCTGGGCTGCTGCCTTCGCGTGCCCCTCTCTCCAGACACGCGTTGGGGAGCACTGAAGATGATCATGTTGATATTTAGCTTGTCACTGGAAATTAGCACTAACATGCAATTCATAAATATGCAAATAAGGTGCTGAGCAAGAGCCTCAGAGGATATTGTGTCAGTAATACCTGATTTCACAATTCTTTAATTTCTTGATTTGCTGTGTTTAACACCTTGAGCACAATAGAATGGCAGCAGGTTAAACATCTGGAGTTCCAGAACCTGAATCTAAGCTGATTCTTGAGCTTGGTGCAAGGAAGGCAGTTTATTTATAAAGTCTTTTTCTGCAAATCCAAACATCAAGGATTTTCTCTGGTAGAGGGAGCTTGACTTTATTTATGGACAAATAAAGATACATGCTGGCATTTCTTGTTGTGTTTGTAGTTCAGCAAGAACGTATAGTGAGCATCAGAATAAAGCTCAGGATTGGTAACTGATTTGTCTTTGCCCGTTCCAACGAGAGCATAACTTCCTGCACAACCACGTCCTGGCTAATTAACTGGAATTTTCAAAGAGGTGGGCATTTAAATAAGCTGGCAGCTTCCAGGAGAGCACTGCTGGTGTGTTTGGGTGCACATGTGTTTGCCCTGGAATTGCCCTGTTCCTGGTGGGGCCCAGAATGGTCCCTGACAGCTGCCACTGCCACGACAATGGAAGACAAAGCTGGAATGCTTCTCTGCCGTCCTCGAAGAGCTCATTAATCAGTTGTTAATTAAACTGTCCCCTGCAGAAGTGTTGAGGAGGGGGCTGGGCCACGTCTGAGCAGGAGGCGCTGGTGGCAGTTGACAGTGCCACGGTGACAGTTCCACAGTGGAACCCTGCGGTCACAACGCTGCCACACCTCCCGGGGCAGCGGGGCCTCGGCATCTGTCCTACAGGGACCTGGGAATGGTGGGCCAAGGGATGGAGGCCCCCGGCAGCACGCGGGGCCCCAAGGCCGACCTGAGCCAGCGCAGCCAGCAGATGCATGTCCTCGTGGGCCTGCAAGGTGCTGCCTCGGGCCGCTGGGGGACAGGGGGGTCACAGCCCCCTCGTCCCACGTGGTACCATCGGCTGCCTGATGTCCCCCAGAGCAAGGCAGGAAGATTTTCGCTCAGTCCTGCGAGGAAAAGCTCCGGCAGAACAGGGAGCTGCTCCCCAGCCTTAAGGCGGCCTTGCAGGAGGACTCCAGTATCCTGGACTTTGTCCTGAAGGTACCAGCAGGTCCCTCCTGCTGCACCCCTGCCTGGTGCTGGCCCTGCACCCCCAGCTCCTCCAGGAGCTGGCAGCACAGGCCAGCAAAAGATGTGTCATTCCCAGGCTGACAGTGACCATCTTTGTCCCTCCCCTGCCCACAGTACAACAAACTCCCCATTAAGGATGCTTTCGGAGAGGGCCAGGAGCTCGTTTCAGCCACTGAGAGCCTGGAGGTAACGGCAGGGCTGCGAGCAGGGGCTGGGGCTCTGGGGACACTGAGAAGAACAGTGCATGGCAAAGGGACATGCTACCAGCACCAGGACAGCCCCACAGGGCTGGTGTGGAGGCACAGGGTGTTCATGTCTGGTCCCATGGGACCCATCCATGCAGCCCCTTTGTCCCAGCAGACCTCCTGGCTGTCCCACTCCCCGTGTCCTGGCACTGCCCGTGTTCCTACAGGGTGCAGTTGCATCCCTGGCAGAGATGCTGTCCCTGCCCTTCACTGCCTGTCCCAAGGTTGTGCCCTGGTTACAAACCCGTGGAGATTGAGGCGCTGTGCTCACAGAGCTGCCTTTGCCCAGAGGCCTCGTGCAACGACAGAGTGCTGCTGCTGCTCTCTGATAACATCCCCATCTGGGCCCGGATCGATTTTATTGATCCCCAGCCCTGCTCCATGTTATGCAGAGTCCCTAAGCCCAGCCCAGCCCTGCCACCAGCAGTTGCCCACCTCTGCCTTACCCCAGCCAGCCCCCAGAGCAAAGCTCTCCCAGACACCATCCTGTCAAACCAGTGACAACATCCTGGATCAGTGTCCCCATCTCTACCTTGGGGGGAGTTTTCTGGGCAGCACCCCCTTCTCCTGCAGCATCCAGCCTGGAAAGTGGTCTCATGCCTATCCAGGTGGTCATAAAGAAGATCGAGGCCAAAGTCCATGACCAGGTGAAGGTGTGTGACATGCTGCTGCACCAGCTGAAGCAGTGGAGCCAAGCCAGGGATGAGCGCCAGAGGCACCTGCAGGATCTGCAGGATGCTGAGACGGATCCCAGGTGGCAAGAGCCACAGTTGCAGGTATCTGGGAGCCCTTCCTGGTGTGCCAGCACCCATGGGGGCTTTAATCCATCCCCTGCACCCCCAGCTGGGCACTGGGCTTGGCACACATAGTCACTTTGTGTCTTCCCCCTGTGTCTGCTCCAGACCATTCGCCAGCTGGGCAATGACATCGAGAAGATGCTCATGAAAATTCACAGTGGAGAGATCGTGACCAACCTGTACCTGAGGCTGCAGGAAGTCCTGAGGAGGGTGAGCTCCTCCTCACTGTGCCAGTGTTTCACCTGCTCTCCCTGCAAAGGCACGGGGTGCCCAAGGGGCTGTGTCCCAGGGGACACCCTGCTGGTCCCTTCTGTGCCCTGTCACAGCACGGGGGACCCCGGTGGGTGATGTGCTGTGGCTCCCTGTGTGCCAGGAGCTGGTGTACCTGCCTCAATACCTAGACCTTCTGTCTGGGATGACTGTGATGTACCACGAGGAGCTCACACCCCGGACTAGCCTCAAAGCCAACGATGTCATCAAGGTGAGATAAGTGGAGCCCTTTCCCACCCCTCAGTGCCCTCAGACAGCACCACGTACCTGGGCCTGAGAGCCTTCTTTCAGCAAGGGGCAAAAGAGATGGAGCTGAGATTGCCCACAGCACCCAGAGGCCTCCATAGGTTCTCCCAGGTCTCCCTCTTGTCCCCTGGGACTGGGGTCAGCAGCTTGTCTGAAATACCAGCCATGGCAAAGGCAGTGTGTCCCACACCCCAGCCCGCCTTGCCAAGCTTCCTTCACAGCCTGTTTGCATGGACTGGGGTCACTTTTGATACTGGGCATCCCAGGAGCTCATCCAGTATCTCAAATCACAGATTCATGAAATGGTTTGGGTTAGCAGGAACCTTAAAGCTCATCTCATTCCAGCCCCTGCCATGGGCAGGGACACCTTCCACTATCCCAGGTTGCTCCAACCCTGTCCAATCTGATCTTGGACACTTCCAGGGATCCAGGGGCAGCCACAGCTGCTCTGAGCACGCTGTACCAGGATGTCACCACCCTCACAGGGAAGAATTTCTTCCCACATCTCAATCTAAACCAATACTTGAACTTAATAACTTAATCAGTAGAAAGCTCCAACTATCTTTGGCAGCAACTCTTCCCTTCTCTGTTATGCTCCAGAAACTCATGGCTGAGGCGGGACCCCAGGTCCGTGTGGAGAAGCAGCTCAGGGACCAGTCCTTGGCTGAGCAAAGGAAGCACATTGAGAGCCTCCGGCACCAGGAGGAGAGCGAAAAGCAGCAGAGGCAGGTGAGCTGGCTGTGGGGCAGGAAGGGCTGGGGCTGTGGGGCAGGTGAGCTGGGCTGTGGGGCAGGAAGGGCTGGGGCTGTGGGGCAGGTGAGCTGGGCTGTGGGGCAGGAAGGGCCAGGGGCAGGGGGCAGCCTTCCAGGGATCCAGGGGCAGCCACAGCTGCTCTGAGCACGCTGTACCAGGATGTCACCACCCTCACAGGGAAGAATTTCTTCCCACATCTCAATCTAAACCAATACTTGAACTTAATAACTTAATCAGTAGAAAGCTCCAACTATCTTTGGCAGCAACTCTTCCCTTCTCTGTTATGCTCCAGAAACTCATGGCTGAGGCGGGACCCCAGGTCCGTGTGGAGAAGCAGCTCAGGGACCAGTCCTTGGCTGAGCAAAGGAAGCACATTGAGAGCCTCCGGCACCAGGAGGAGAGCGAAAAGCAGCAGAGGCAGGTGAGCTGGCTGTGGGGCAGGAAGGGCTGGGGCTGTGGGGCAGGTGAGCTGGGCTGTGGGGCAGGAAGGGCTGGGGCTGTGGGGCAGGTGAGCTGGGCTGTGGGGCAGGAAGGGCTGGGGCTGTGGGGCAGGTGAGCTGGGCTGTGGGGCAGGAAGGGCCAGGGGCAGGGGGCAGCCTGCAGTGCTGAGCCCCCAGGGGTGACAGTGACTGTCCTTGCAGCAAGCTGTGTCCATGCTCTCTGCAGAGCAGGACCAGAGCTCCTCGGAAGCGCTGGTGGGTGAGTGCCTGGCAGGGGGCAGGGCGGGGGGATGTGGACACAGACACGGACATCCTGCCCTGCTCCTTCCCTGCCACCCCAGGTGCTGACGTGGAGGCCGCCATGGCCAAGATGCAGCGTGAGGCCTTTGTGACCGACAAGATGGAGAAGGCAAAGACTGCCCTGCAGTGCTCCTGCCTCTGGGTAATGAAAAACCCATCCCTGCTAAAACCTGGGGCTGCTGGAGCACTGGGGAGATGCAACCTCTCTGCTCCCCCTCCCCGTTTCCCTGCGCAGTTATTTGCTGTTCTCTCCCTGGAGCCCCACAAAGCCCCTCTTTGCAGGCAGGCACTGCCCCTCTCCATGAGCAGAGACTACAGAGCTCCATGGTGCTGTAACCCCCCAAGACCCTGCTTCCAGCAGGAGCACCTTGGGTTGAGTCCTTGTGTCTCCCCTGGCCAGGACATCCCCAGCAGCATCCAGGCACAGAGGAAATCTCTGGGGAACTTGCAGCAGCACATCAATGAGTGCAACGAGACAAAGAACGTGCTGAAGAAGACACTAGAGGAGCTGGAGTCAAAGCAGGCTAAACTGAAGTTTAACCAGCCCGTCAGCACCACCAGGTGCTGCTGGCCTCTCACAGTTGTGCCAGCCAGACCACCACCTTTGGGGGGGACATGTCCCAACAGGCACCCTGACCTCCACCCCACTGCAGCCACGCACTCCTCCCGCACCGGGAGGGTTTCTGAGCTCCCAGCTCTGCTCCTGGCAGAGCACCCAAAGCTCCCACTGGGATCCAGGAGCTCCCTTTCTCCTTGCTTGGTATGGGAAGTGCTGCCAGCACATGGAACTGGCCTGTAGTTGGGGATGGGGCAACCTGAACAGCTTCTGGAGCAGCTTTGGGGTGCCCCTGCACCGCTCTGCAGCTGTGTGACGTGAGTGTGGCTGGCTCCAGGCTGCGGGAGGAGGAGCTGAGGGAGAACCTGAAGCAGGAAGAGGCCCGGCTGGAGCAGATGCGAGCCCAGATGCTGAAGAACCAGAAGCGCCTAATTGAGTTTGAGAACATCATTGACAACATGTTCCTCCGCCTGCAGGGCATCCCTGGCCAGGTACCACGGGGCTCCAGGGGAGCAGGCCCCTGCAGGCACTGCAGCACGGGGACACCTGGCACGGCCGCCACTGCCACCAGGGCCTGGCTGTCCCCACCAAGGTGGTTCTGTCTCCCCCAGGACTCTGGTGCAGTGGTGGGGCTGGAGCAGAAGCTGCAGCACTGTGAGCAGAAGCTGCAGTCCCTGAAGGAGAAGGTGGCAGCCCGGCCTGAGGACAGCACTGATGAAAACAGTGAGGTACGGGGGCTCCAGCCCTCAGTGACCTTGGGGACACACGCAGGGCCCTCACAGACAGCCACCCAAGCCATCCTTCCTCAGCAAGGCCACAGGGAAGAGCCATGGAGCAGCTCAGCCCCAGATGGCACCAGGCACCCATGGTGCCAACCCATGGTGCTCAGGTGTGGCACCTTGGGTTGCAACACTCACCTGCCCCCCCAGTGCTTAACCCAGGCTGTGTTTCACAGACTTTTGCCAAGGTCAGGAACCTTCTGGAGAAAAGAACTGCAGATGAAACACAGAACCTGAGGATTTCCTTTGAGGATGAAGACACTATGGAAGATGGTAGGAGAGCACAGTGGGGACATGTCCCACAGTGACTGTCCCAGCCCTTGCCCCCTGGGATTTTTGGGAGTCCTTGTCTGTCTCCCACTGGCCCAGTAACACCAACCCACAAATTGCCTTCAGGTTCTGAGGCTGACCTTGGCTGTTTCCAAGGCTTCAGACGTGGGTGGTGTTTTTAGGCAGGGGTGGGGGAGAACAAAGGTAGGTGGTGACAGGATGAGCACCAAGCCACTGCAGGAACAAGGAGAGATATTGTGGCGCAAGAGGGAGCACCTTCATCTCCAAAATCACCTGGTTGTGAAGAATAATCAGTGCTTGGTTCTGCCTGTGGATGCTCCTGGAAGAGGCAAAGAGCTTTTGGCAGCTCACCACCTTTCTTTAGCAAAGGAGGAGCTGTGCCCACCACACTGCAGCTCCAGACCTTTATGGGAAGCCCCAGCAGTGTTGGAGATGGGCCACAGTGGTGGTGGCATCACCAGGTCCCACAGGTCACCCTGGGTTGCTGGGGTGGAAAGGCCCATGAGGATTCTCCTGTATCCCACAAGCCAAACAAAATGTGCCAGCTCTCCCAGGGACATGGGCACAGCCTCCAGATCCTCCCCAGCCCCTCCTCTCCACTCTCCCCTCCAGACACCTTGGATTTTGAGGACGAAGACCATGACTACATCCCCAGCCGGGAGGACATCAAGAAGCAGGGGCTGCAGCTGATCCGAATGAACACCAGAAGTCGCAAGAAGAAGTAGTGGTTTCTCCATGTGAGCTTTGAAGGCCTCAGGCCACCCCCTGTACCCTTTCCCCAGCAGGAGCACCTTGGGCTGAGTTTTCTCAGTCTGCTTTTCCCAGCAGGTTTAATAAACCAGATGTTCTTCATTCCTCCCAGTTTCATGGTAAGGCGGTCCTAGGTCACTTCTGTCACTCACAACACATTGGGGTCCATCCTGAGGGGTTCTGAGCTAGGTTTGGAGGTGGGGATGGGCTGGGTTAGGGACAGGTTCAGCCCCTGGAGCAAAGCTGGGGCTGGTCTGGCTTTCTCCCCCTTGGTGCTGTGGGGCCAACACCTTCCCAGGACCTCTGATGCCTCAGGGGCTGCAGTCTGTCTGAGCCGGTGATGGGGAAATGTGGGGAATGGCTGAGTCCTGTGGGGTCCCAGGGTGCGAGTCCTCGTGTCCATGCATGGGAGCAGAAGAGCAGAGTACCTGGGAAGGAGAGACCCAAAGCTGAGCTGAGCCCCCAGCCTGGAGCCTCTCCCCCCACTGCTCCTGCAGGCATGTCCTGCAACTCCTGCCCTGACCCTGGAGCAAGCCCCAGGTGTCACCAGGGCTGCAGGAGAGTCTGGGGGTCAGCAGTGTCCTAGTGTGACCAAGGACAGCAGAGGCTGCTGCTCCAGGGTGGGATGTCTAGTCCTGCTGAGGGGCACCCACTGTGTCCCCTCTCCTCTCATGCTGCAAATAGATGGTGCTGTTTCTCCAAGAACAGCTGGAACCAAGGGGCTCTGCCTGTACTCCTGGACAGAGAGCCAGGACAGGGACACCTTGTCCCCTTCCACAGGGGAATGTCAGGGTCAGAGCAGCCTTTCCCTGCCTGTTCTGCTCGGTCCCTGTGCTTTGTGCTGGCATCATCAATGGCATCGCCACCGAGGGGAGGAACAGCTGCTGCTCCCAAGCCTCTCAGCACTGCTCCCAGTGGGATTCGTGGAATGGGCATTATCTTCACAAAATACAGCACAACTTGAGGTTTTTCAGGGAAGCTCCAGAAATAACATCACGTGTCAGTAAAGGCATCTCATGGAGCTTCCCAGAATCCACAGCCACAGGTGGGCTCTTCTGCAAGTAAAGACCAGGCTGTAATTGCATATCCATCTGTTCATGTCGTGTTCTTGTGTGCCCACCACAGTCTCACCACCCTCACAGGGAAGAGTTTCTTCCCAATATCCCATCTATCCCAGCTCTCTGGCAATGGGAAGCCATTCCCCTGTGTCCTGTCCCTCCATCCTTTGTCCCCAGCCCCTCTCCAGCTCTTCTGGAGTCTCTTTAGGCCCTGCAAGGGGCTCTGAGCTCTCCTTGGAGCCTTCTCCTCTCCAGGTGAGCACCCCCAGCTCTCCCAGCCTGAGAAATGTGTCAAGCTCTTGGTCTGGTCTTTCCACACTGTCTCTGGGGAACAGGGAAGTGGGAAAAGGTACAGAAGAGCTGGAGCTGGCTGGAGGCTCCAGCCTGTGTCCCATTTTTCTGGCTGGAACGTAATTCAGGGGTGGTTTAGCTGCCTTTACAGGAAGAGCAGAGCAGCAGCAATGGGGTTTCACTTCTCTGAGCTCCTCCTGGCCTGAACAGGGGATCCAAGGACTACCTGCTCCATCAGGAGCATCCGCTGGATGTGTTCAGACACTGCATCCCAACTCCTTGTCACAGCTGCCAGAAGAGGGAAGGGCTGTCACCCCCAGCCAGCAGCTCCCGGGCACAGCAATGGAACTGGGAGCAATCAGAATGACTGCTCCTGGCTCTGCTCCTGGCTCCCCTGGATCTGGGAGAGATGGCACCAGGAATGGATGTGACAAGTGGAGAAGAGGTACTGTGGGTGTGGGGAAGAGCTGGAGGCAGTGCCTTGGTTTCTGGATTTGAAAAGATGGGAAAAGGTGGGGCTGCAGGGGCTCTCCCATAGGGGAAAATATAGTTAATTATATAAGGAATAAATTAATAAGTAGGGAAGGGAAGGGGAAAAGGGAAAGGGAAAGGAAGGGGAAAAGGGAAACAACAGGACTGATGTCACCTCAGATGACACCTCATTAGGTGTCAGGCATGGGTGGTACAGCCCAGGGAAGGAGATGAGAGATTTCCTTTTCTGCCTTAAGGAACCTTTATTCCCTTCCTCTGAGCTCGGCTGGAGCTCCAGCACGGATGCTGCAACCAGTGCCAGGACTGGTGAGAAACCAAAAATAGGACATTGGGGAATTGCATGGAAGCATTTGCCATGTGGAAATATCAATCTCTGCCTTGGGAAGGCTGGGTTTGAGTGGGTTTGGGACTTTTTATTTTTAAAGGTGTGATGAAAATCACATGGAATGGAGTGCAGGGAAGGGTGGGCACAGCTGGGGATTTCACTGGAGCATCAGTGCTGGGTTTCATCCTCTGGGAAAATGGGAACCGGGTAAATCAGCCAGTCTGGGACCAAAAGCAGAGGCTCTGTTGGCTGTTCTGGGGAGGAAGAGGCAGCCAGGGGATCCTTCTTGGAGCTGCAATGGTGGGATGTGGGATATGGGAGGTTTGTGTGTCCCGGCCTTTGGGGTGAGAGCTGCTTCCAGCCAAGGAAGCACAACATTTTCCATTCCCATGTTGGTAAGAGGGTTCATAGGAGGGGATGGGGGTGTTTGGCCTGGTGAAGAGCAGGAATTGGCATCACAGCCACAGCAGGGCTCAGCACCCTGGGCCAAGCAAGGGGCTGAGGCAGTGCTGGTAAAGGAGGGAAGGACCGCAAGGAGGTGGGGCCCATGCTCTGACCCTCAGCAAGGAAAGAAGTGGCTGGCAGCAGAGCACTGGGTGGGGCTGGCAGGTCCCATGAGGCAGCTTTCCTCCACAGCAGAGACCACGGACCACCTCAGACCATTTTGGTGGCCTCCTCTGGGCCTACTCCACCAGCTCCGTGTCTGTGCTGGGATGAGCTGGAGGCAGCTCCAGAGAGATCTCAGGAGAGCAGAGCAGACGAGGAGCATCCCCTCCCTCCCCTGCTGCCCACCATGGGAGGAGCCCAGGAGACACTCGGCTTCCTAGGCTGCCAGTGCCCATGGCCAGGTCATGTCCCATTTGTCACCCACCAGAACCCCCAGCTCCCATCCATCCACCCACCCATCCATCCATCCATCCATCCATCCATCCATCCATCCATCCCTCCATTTACCCCTCCCCAGTCTGTGCTGGCCCTGGGGATGTCCCTGACCCTGGCCTCAGCTGGGCTGGATCAGCCCAAGGGCTCTGTGCAGAGGAGAAGGAGGGGATGCAGGGGCGGGATATTGGGGTGCAGGGTGGGATAATGGGATGCAGGTGGATGATGCCCTCTGGGAGGCAACCACTGATGCAGCCCATCCATCCCTCTGCCCACTCCTCCTGTTCCTCCGCCTCAGCAGGTCCTAGGGGACCCAAACTGGGGTGACTGGGCACAGGTGCTGGTGGTGTCTCCTGGCAGGGCTCCCTCCCCCACTGGTGGGGGGACACAGTGGTGCCTGGGGGCAGCATGTGGAGGGCAATTCCATCCCATGCTCAGGCTCTGTCTCCCCACTCCCACCCCAGCCCCACACCAGCAGCACGCAGCACCCCAAGGCACATGAGATGAGATCACATGAGCTGCTGCCACATGAGCCTCCTTGTGCCCCCTCATCCCAGAGCTGGATCCCAAGAGGCTCTCCTACCACACCCCAAGCTGGGTGTCCCTGTGAGTGCAGCACAAACCCCCCCAATACCCATTTTGAGCCTTTTCCAAGGGAACAGGATCAATAGGCCACAGGGTAGGCCACTACCAGCCTCAGAACATGGGTGCCCAGGGATGTGGGATGCCCAGGGCCATGGGGTGCCCCCATTCGGTGGAAGCCACAAGGGGTTGCAGACAAGCCAGGTCAGCCGTATTTATTGAGAACAGTTGTGGAGGGATAAAAATATTTCCACTACTCTATAAGAATTTATAAACCTATACTCTCTGATCCGTTAATAAACGCCTCTAGGACCGTCATGCCAGGGGAGGGGCTTCTGTAAGAAAATAGCGAGATTAAAAAAAGGAAAGCGCTAAATATTCCCTGCAGGGCCCTGCCGGGGGGGCCCTGCCCACGGGGGCCACGGGACCCCCGCTGGCACGGGGACACGGGGGCACAGGCCGAGTGCTGCCCTGGCACCCTGCAGCCCCAAGCCCCGAGCCCCAGCCGGGCACAGCCCCTGCCAGCCACGTCCCACCCGGGGGACCCCAGCTCAGGGGCCCTGATGGCGACAAGACATCCCCACAGCAGCCAGCTCCCACTGCTCCCAGTCCTGCCTGCACCCTCACCATCCCCTGCGGGCTTTCCTGGACCCAGGAGGGGTTTGAATCCTTCTCCCCAGGGATGCTGCAAGAGGCGGCCAGGGCTCACCCTGGGGACACACAGTGGGGCTCTGCAGGAAGCAACACAGCTGGGAACATCCTTGGGGACACAGGGACACTACACAGAGCCCTGCAGGGTGGTGACATGGCTGGGGACATCCCAGGGGCACACACAGATGCAACATAGCTCTGTGGGAAAGCAACACAGATGGGGACAGTCTGAGGAGGGGGGAGAAGCTGCAGTGCTCTGTAGGGCAGCAACACCAACCAGGGCACGGTGGGGAGCATGGGGACGTGGGGGACATGGGGACACGCAGCAGCGCTTCGCTGGGAAGCAGCACAGATGGGTACATCCTTGGAGAATACACGGGGCTGCTGTGCCAAAAAGCAGCAGGGACAGGGACATCCTGGGCATACAGGACACCACAGAAAAGCAAGTGGCAGCAGGGGCTGAAATTCCAGCCAGGGCCGGTGCTGTTGCCATGGGGTGAGAGGTGCCACGGGCAGAGGACACTCATTATTGCTTTACAGGGCCAACATCACGGCAGGCTGGGGGTGCCCAACCTCTGATTTGGGGTTCAAGGGATTTTCCCTGGCGACATTGATTCCCCAGTGCTCCTTGTGCCACAGCCCTGCTGTCACTCAATGGGGACAGGGTGAGGACACAGGGCTGGACACTGACAAGCTTCTGTCCCCCTGCACTGGTGCTGGCATAGAGCAGGATAGTCACTGTCCCTTGGCTGTCCATCCCCTCTGTCCCCTGTGGTTCCCAGGAGCTGCTGTCCCTCCATGCCAGCCAAGGGCAGGGGAACAGCCCTGTCCCCCACAGCAGCTGGGGCCTTTGGGGGGCTGGCACCAGTGCCCCCCTTTCCTCTTCTCTTAAGCCAGGGCCAAGCTGAGCATAAAGAATGTAAGCAGGGAGCCCAGGGTGACACGGGGACAAGGGACACACTGTGGGAACCAGGCTGGCCAGGGCCCTCCCCAGAGCTGTGGAGAAATGGGAAACCAAAGCTTGGGGGACCAAGCTGTCCCCAGTGAGTGGAGAGGAGTGGGGCAGGAGGCCCCAGGTTGGGTGCCCTGTCCCTCGCTGTCCCCCCGTGTCCCCTCGCTGTGCCCGGTGTCCCCGCGGGCGCTGGCTGGTTGGATAAGGCGATGCCGCAGCTTAAGGTGGTGGGTGGGCGTTGGTACCGAGTCTGGCAGCGGGGCCGGGCGGGTGGAGCGTGATGTAAACATTTCTGATCGGGGCCAGGAGGAGGAGGAGGGGGGACGGGCTAGTGCGAGTCCTTCATCTGCTTCTGGATCTTCTGGAGCATCTCCTGCATCCGCCGCAGCTGGAAGGGAGCAGAGCCAGGATTGTGGATGGTGCCAAGCCCCAGCCACGCAGCTCTCCCGCAAATGGACCTCGGGCTGAGCATCCCAGACAAACTGGGATCGGCAGCAGCTAGGGAGGGGGAGGGGGGGACCCGTGGATACACTTCCAGACCCTGCTGGTTGGAGTAGCAGCCGCCGGGATGCTGCAGGAAGGGTGGCTCCCAACGGCTGTGCCGTCGCCGGGGCAGGAGGGAGTGGGGACGGAGGTCTGGGGCTCAGCCCGCCGCACACTCACCTCCTCATCCTTCTCCCGGATGAGCTTCTCCGTCTCCACGTCCGGCACCGGGGGGATCACGGGGATGGGGAAGTCTGTCCCGCTCTCCCGGGTCAGCTTGCTGTGGGCAGAGAGAGGAGGTGAAGGTGCTGCCCCAGCCCCCCAGGGACATTCCCCCGTGGATTACCCAAACCCTGCACGTCCCCAGCAGCCCCTGCACAGCCCCCGGGCCCCATGGCCACCATCAGAGTGGTTTTTTCCAAGCAAGGGAGATGTGAGTGGCCCCCAAATCTCAGCACCCCCAACCTGCCGTGTACCAGCCAAGGGGGGACCCAGGGACTTCCTCCACACCCTCCCATTTTGGGGAGAATCCCACTGGGGTTGGGCTCTCCATGGGCAGTATTTTCCCTGCTGCTTTAAAACATCAAAACCTCGGCATCTCCCCTCTGTCCCCTGGCCTCAGGATGGGCTCTCTAGGCACTCGACTGCCCTGCCAGCCCCAGGGATGCCCCACACCCTTTTCCCGAGCTCTGCTCCCATTCAAGCCCATTCCTGCCGGAGAGAGCAGCGAGCATCCCCCTGAGGCCGCGCCACCGGGCAGGACCCGGGCCAGCCCAGCCGATGGCTTCCCCATGGGCCCGGCACCGGGAGGGACCAGCCCTCCACCCGTCCCTGTGGATGCCACGTGCCACCCCAGCGGGTGACAAGGCTGGGACACCAACGGCGGCTGGCAGGGTCACGCGTGCTGCCACGTGCCATCACCACATGCCACGGCCAGCGCGGCCCCTCCGGGCAAAGGGGTGATGGACACGGCTGGGGCACGGGCGGGACGGGCCAGGCCTGCCCGAGCAGGACGGGCCATCCCTGTCCTGAGCAGAACGGGCCATCTCTGTCCCGAGCAGGACGGGCCATCCCTGTCTGGGGCAGGACGGGCCATCCCTGTCCTGGGCAGGACGGGCCATCCCTGTTCCGGGCAGGACGGGCCATCCCTGTTCCGGGCAGGACGGGCCATCCCTGTCCTGGGCAGGACGGGCCATCCCTGTCCGGGGCAGGACGGGCCATCCCTGTCCTGGGCAGGACGGGCCATCCCTGTCTGGGGCAGGACGGGCCATCCCTGTCCTGGGCAGGACGGGCCATCCCTGTCGGAGCAGGACGGACCATCCCTGCCCGCGGGGTCCCGCTGTGCCGGGGGCTGGGCCAGCGCCAGGGCCGGGGTTTGGCTGCCTCGGGAGCCGCTTTGGAAGGCGCTGCCGTTGTCTCAGCTTTGGCCGTGGGGGACGTGGGGAGCACGTGGAGCTCCTGCCAGCCCCGGCAGTTACACGGAGCTGGAGCCGAACAGCAGCAATGTGTTGAGCAGCAAAAGCTCTCAGCACCCCAAAATCACATCTCTGGGAGGGCAGCACGATGGGGGCTCAGTGCCACCAAACAGGGACACATCCCCCAAAGCTGGGTGAGCCGGGGTGACACCACCAGCACACAGCGTCCTTTGGCACCCCAAGGGCAGCTTGTGTGGGACAAGAGTGGGTGGCCACAGAGCCAGAGTGGATGGCCACAGATCCGGCTCACCCCGAGGGCAGCTGGCTGGGCTTGCTAGGGCACAGAAGGACCAAGACAGCGTTGGGTACCAACAAGCACTTTTATAGAGGGGCCAGGGGGTGGCAGGGCGAGCAGGGCGAGGCCCAGCGCGGGCCCCGCCGGTCCCGGCTCAGTCGGCAGAGCTGTCCCCGCAGCACAGCCTCAGCACGGAGGGATGGCTCCTGCCCCGGGGCACACAGGGAGAGACACTTAGAGGTGCCTAGAGAGGTGCCTATAGCCACTGCCAGCCCCCCACAGCACAGCTCCACTGCCCCGGGACCCACAGAGCCTCCACTCGCTCCCACACTGCTCTGACCCCCAGCTGGAAGGTCCCAGCGGAGGTCCTGCTTGTGGGGGCTCTCTCAGCACCTCGGGGTGGCTAAAGTGGATGTGGGTGCCGTGAATTCGGCTGATCCACGAGCAGAGCCCCAGCACTGGCTTTTGTTGGGCTCCTGCTCTGGTGCCGGAGCCTGCAAGGATGCAGGGGCCCCCTCCCTGTTGGAGCATCCCCCCACAGCCAGCCCCAGGGGGATGCAGGATCCCCCTTGGTGCTGAAGCATCCCCCGAGACAGACCCAGCCCAGAGGGGACACACGGTCCCCCTTGCTGCCAGAGCACACCCCTGGCCCCAGCCCCAGCCCTGGGGGCACATGGGGTCCCCCTCACTGCTAGAACATGCCCCTTAAACCAGCCCCACCTCTGGGGAGATGCAGGGTCCCCCTGGCTACCAGGGCATCCCCCCAGCCACCCCAGGGGCACAGGGGTGGAGTATCCCAGCTAAGACAGACCCAGCCTCGGGGTTTGCAGGGCCCCCTCACTGCCGGAGCATCCCCAGGCACTCCCAGTCCAAGGGCACAGGAGGGGCCCTTCACCACCAGGGGCTGCCCAGCACGGCCCCACGCACAGCCCTGACCTGTCAACACCACCACTTGCAGTGGCTGGGGTCACCCCAAAGAGAGGAGCCCCCCGACCCGGCCCAGCCCGTACTTGCGGTTGCGCTCCTTGACCACCATGCGGGTCATGCTCTGGATGCACTGCGTGCGGTAGTTCTCGTAGTGCGTCTCCCGTGTCACGTCCTTCAGGTCCTGCATGTGCGTCCTCACCAGCATCGTCCGCAGCTTCACGAAGTCGCAGTGGGACGGGTTCTCCACTGCGGGGGACGCGGGGTCAGGGGCCACAGCCTGTCCCAGCCCGGGGCTGTGACGGGCGCGCCGTGTCCCTGTCCCCAAAGGCCGGGGGCCGCCGGGGGTGGCCCAGCGTTACCTTCCACGATGCCCCAGGGGTAGAGGCGCCCACGGACGCGCCGGCCCTTGGCCTCCACCACCGTGTTGCTGCCGATAACAGCGAAGGGGATGCTCTCCTGCAAGGGCAGGGGGATCAGCAGGGCCCTGCCATGACCCCCACCCACCAGGACCCGCATCCCTCCACACGCCCTCCTCAGCTGTGTCCAGCACCCATTTGCCAAGATATTCCAAAGGCCCGGCTGTGGAGAGCCCAGTGGGACAGCAGAGGTCGTGGCATGGGTTTTCCCACCCAAGTCCCATCCCACCGAGCTGCAGGTGTCACGCATGAGATCTTGGTGACATGTCTGGGTACTGAGATATGTGCCAGCCCCTCCATGCTGGAGAGCTTGTGTGGCCCCAAAGAGTCCTGCAGGTACCCCAGGGTGACATGTCCTCCTGGCCACAGGGCTCTTCCTCTCCAGTGATGGAGCTGGAAGAGCCAGACCCACCTTCAGTGCCTGGTCCTGCAGCTTGAACTCCTCATCCTCGTCCGAGTCACACTCAGGGAATTGGTAGATGCGGATGCCATAGTGGTCGATCTCCTCCCGGATCTGGAGACAAACAGCTCCCTGAGGGCAGGGCTCTGGCCTCGGGAAGGGTGTGGGAGGCACCACACAGGGCCAATGGCCCCCAAAAGCCTGGTCCCACCAGACCAGATGTCATGGACACCCCCCAGTCCTTCCAACCCCCAGGTGAGCCCTGGGCAGATGCATCCTTGATGGCCATGGGGGCAGCATGGTCCTCTACAGTGCTTCAAGCCTAGAAAATGCTCCAGGGCAAATTCCAGGCAGGAGATGGATGGAGACCCCAGGGCAGCCCCATGCCCGGGGACCTGCTGGGACAGCTCCCAGCTGGCCCACGTCCCCTCACCTTGTTCTTCATGCGCTCCACCTCAGCGGGGGTCAGGGTGTCAGCCTTGGCCAGCACGGGCACGATGTTCACGCGCTGGTGCAGAGCTCTCATGAACTCCACGTCCAGGGGCCGGAGCCTGCGGGGGGAGTCTGGTGAGCCCCGTCCCACCGAGCCCCTGCCCCGCCTCCCGGCAGCGCGGGCAGGGCTGCCCGTACCCGTGGCCGAAGGGCGAGATGAAGTAGATACAGCAGTGCACTCGGTTGTCCTGGATGTTTTTCCGGTTGAGGCCACTTTCGTCACGGAAATACTGCTCGAACTGCTGGTCGATGTAGTCGGCCACTGGCTTCCAGCTGCAGGGACAACGAGGTGACACCGAGTCCTCTGTGAGACCCCCTGCTCTCTGTGGACCCCCAGCTCAGTACCTCCATGTCTCAGCACCTAAGCCCATTGAACCATGGGCATCCCACCCATCATGGGGTGTCTGCCCTGGGGAGACCCCCACCCCATGGCACTCAGCATCCCACCCACGCTGGGGACAGTCCCCACCCCATGGCACTCACCACTCGGTGTTGTTGACGGCGTCCCCGAAGCCTGGCGTGTCCACGATGGTCAGGCGCAGCTTGACCCCCTTCTCCTCGATGTCCACCACGTGCTTGGTGATCTCCACCGTCTGCGTGATGCGCTCTGTGAGGAGGGACACACATCACCAGGGGGGACACGAGGGAGGGTGGCAGTTACACGGGGACATGCTGCAACTCCCAAGTGTCATCCCCACCCTGGGAGCTGGGTGACCCAGCTGGATCAGCCCCGACACGCCATGCTCCAGACCAGGAGAGGATGCTCCATGCTGTGGTCCCCACATCCCCATGGATGGTCACCCATCCCTTGGTGGCTGTGCCACTGCCACCCCAGGACCACTATCAAGGTCACCCATCCCTTGGTGGCTGTGCCACCCCATCATAGGGGTCTGCTGGGGCTGGGCCTTGCTGCAGGACCCCACAGCTCCAGACTGCACATGCACCTTCACCCCAGGACCCTCCATGTCCCTGCATCCCCAAGGATGCTCCTGCTGCATTGTGTGTTTTGGCTTTCACTCCAAGCAACGGAAACAAATCAAACAAACCTCTTGAACTCCTGGGGATCTGGGCAAGTTTGGGCCATTTTAATTCAAAAACTGGCTGCAGATGAACTGGCACTGTGCCCCATGCCCTGACTGTCCCCAGCCTCCCAGAAAAGCTGTGGCTCCAGCCAATCCCCAACAAGCCAGGACTTGTTTTCCCCGTGGAAATAAAGTCCCCATGGGGGGTCCCCATCTTGTCCAGAGGGGGTCCCCACTGCCTCAGAGCAGTCCCCAGTGCCAGTGACAGCACATGTCGTTTCAGGGGCAGGGAGAGGGGCTGCAGGCCACAGGAGCATCTCTGGGCTCTGCACTGCCCAGGTCACCCAGGACACCCCTCTGGGCCATGACTGTCCCCCTGACCTTCGGCGTTGAGCAGCTTGCGGTCCCTGTACATGTCCGTCAAGAAGAGGCTGTTGACCAGGGTGGACTTGCCCAGCCCAGATTCCCCTGAGAAAGCAGGACAAAGATGAGGGGGGCAGCCAGGATCCCCCCCTCCCCAGCGCAGGGTGTTTGAGATGCAGAGTGGGGTCAGCACCTCCAGGCCAGCTGGACCCCCATACCTGCCACCATGAGGGTGAAGTCAAAGCCCTTCTTCACCGACTTGCGATGCACCTGGTTGGGCAGCGTGGCAAAGCCCACATACTCCTTGTCATCCTGCAGAGGGCAGAGGGGATGTGGGACAGGGACGCTACCAGCCCACCTCCTACCCTGGGAAGACCCCCTTCCCCCGGCCCACAAAGGAATTCCCAGGGTTGGAGTTCCAGGGGATGAGGCCATGCTTGCCCAAAGCCTTTGTGTTCACAAGATGGGAACATCTTCCATCCTACAGCCCCTCGCCCGACGTGTGTCCCTCCCTTCCCAGGGACACATCCTGCACCTCGGAGGAGTCGTAGGGGTCCAGCTGTCCCCAGGGGCTCCGCGGCCGATTGGGGCTGGGGGGCGGGGGGGCGGCGATATGCTGCTGGAAATCCGAGGGCCGGGAGCGGGAGAAAATCCTGGTGTCCCTCTCGTCACTGGCTTCGTCTGGGGGGACCCTGGCCACGCTGCCCAGGGGGTGGCCGGGCTCCCGCCGGCTCTCTGGGGCCTCCACCTTCCGGGAGCTGTCAGCTGCTGGGCAATCCCGCAGGAACTGGGTCAGCTCAGCCTCGTCCGAGTCCTCCTTCAGGAAACGTTTTATCTGGGGACCAAAGGAGGAGGTGACACTGGTGGTGGCAGTGCCAGCCTGATGTGGCACCACCCAGCTCAACCTCACAAGCTCCCAAACCGCAGCAGCCAGACACATGCAGCCTAAAAGGTGGCAGGGATGGGAGGAGAGACGAGACACGGCCACCACAGGGGACGAGCCACCACCCTGGGGACAGCCACGGGTACAGCCATGGGGATGGCAGTGGGGACAGCCGTGGTCCCGTGCACCTCGGGCGCTTACGACTTGCGGCGTAGGGACGGTAACCAGCTCCTGGCGCTCGGGGGGACAGGGGTAGGCACCTTCCCCCTGGGCACCCCGCCGCTCCTCGGGGTCTTCTGGGGCAGCCGCGACGCCCCCGCACCCCATGGCCTGCCAGGAGGACAGGGAGAGGGCCGGGAGGAGGCAGAGACACCAAGAAGAGGTGAAGAGCGATTGGGGGGTGGCCTGAGCGGGGCTGCAGCCGGGCAAAGGCAGAGAGCGGGCAGGGGTCCCCTGGCGCCCATGCCCCCCGCCCGCTGCCCTTTCACGGGGTGTCAGCACAGGGGCCCCCGTCCCCGCATTCCCGGGAGAAAGCCAGGGCAGGGGACCCGGCCCAGAGACATGACCAGGACCCCGACATCTCCTTCCCCTGTCCCTTCCCGGGGAGCGAAGCGCGGGCAGCGAGCGGGGGCTGGGGCTGGGGGGTGGGACAGACACAGCTGCCCCCGAGCTCCTGCCCGTGGGGTGGCGGGGCTGGGACGAGGGACGGGAACGCCGGGATTGGGATGGCTCCACATCCTGTTTACAAGCGCTGGCGGGAGGAGACGCGTTCCCAAGGGCACGTCCGGCAGCGGCTCCCGTGGGACCAAGCCCCGCTGCCAGCAGGCACCAACGTCCCCAAGGTCCCAAGGCAACTGCCAGGCGACCCCAGCCCCAAACGAGAGGCACGCGGGGGCCGGGGGAGCCCGTGACCCTGCGGGCTCCCACTTGGGGGAGTGCTCCCCCAGACCGGGGCCTCGAGGCGAGATCCCTCCATGGGGACACGTGTCCTCCCCTACGCCTTGTCCCCGCTCGCTGGCGGGGCGGGCAGCGGTGCCGGCGGCAAGGCGAGATGCGCGGAATTAGCGGGCTGGAAACAAGGTCAGGGCGCTCGCTGCCCGGGCTGAGCGCTCGCACGCCTGGCCCCGCTCCCGCTGCCCCCGCGGCCACAGCGCCGGGACCACGGGGCCACGCTGGGGGACAGCAGCTGGCCCCATGGCGGGGGCTGCGGGACCCCCATGCTCCCCTCTGCCCCAGCGCGTCCCGAGTGCTCGGTGGGTCTGTGTGACCGCAGCATCCTCTTCCTGCCCGTGACCTGGGGGTCCTTAGTGCCAGCCCCCCGCGCAGCCCGGCCGGGGACTCTCGGGGATGGGAGGTGATGCCACCACCAGCGGCGAGCGCTTCCAGCCCTGCTGCCGCTCCATCCCTCGGGGCTCCAGCCCTTTGGGGCTCGCCCTCGTATCCCACCCCCGGCGAAGCCGATGACTTCGGCAGTGCCGCGGCACCGAGGTTCGCACCGCATCCTTGGGGGTCCTGCAGCAAGTGCAGCCCGGGCAGGGCTGTCTCGGGAACGGAGGATCAGCTGTGGCACCTTCCCGCAGAACCGGGCCGGTCCATGTCCCCCACCCCCTCTGCCCCCTCTCTCGCCCCGCCGGGGACGGGCGCTGCCCCCGTACCTCTTGCCCAGGCTGCAGCTCGGGGCAGGTGGCCATGGCACAGCCAGCGTCGCCCGTGGCCAGCAGAAGATGCCGAGTGGCACCGGCTGCGCCGAGGGCTGGGGAGCAGCATTAGCATAACTCCACCCTGGGCAGGCTCCGCGCCGGGCGCCCGCGGCCCCCAGGAGCCAGACTCGGCCCCTGCGAGGGGCACGGCAGGAGTGAGGGACGCCCGGGTAGAGCTAAACCCAGCTCCTGCCCGGCTGGGGAGGTTTAAAGGAGCAGCCATCGTTGGCCAAGGGAGGTCCTGGGTGGGGGCTGCACGACCACCACCATCACCACCACCAGCATCAGCACCCCTGAGCTGAATGCACAGATTGGCTACAGCCCAGGAGGACACTCAGTCTTTGGAAACACCTCTGTCCCAGGACAAAAATACACTCCATCCCGGGACAAAATTCCCTCCATCCCAGGATAAAATTCCTCTCCATCCCAGTGCACACCACGTCCACTCCCACTGCCCATGCTACCTGGAGCATTCCCCAGCAGGGCTGCACAGCCTCTTTGAGGTCAGAAACCCAGTTTTCCCACACTTTTGTACCTGACACTTAAAGCTTCCCCACATGGCTTTAAGCTCTTGCTCGAGCTGGGCCTGGCTGGGAAGGACCCAGCCCTGGCCTGGGAGAAGCAGGGATACTGCCCACCACTGAGATCTCAGGCAGGATCTCCAGCATTCCTGCCTCGGCTTTTCCGGCTCATCCCTGGGAGGCGAAGGGTTAACAGTGCCCCAGGAGGAGCCGTGGGTGGCAGTCAGGGTTCCCCAGCTGTCACTTCGGGGTCACCAGGGATGGTGATTCACCTTGATGCATGTCGAGATGCATCAGAGCAGCTCAGGCGCGATCCAGGGTCGCTCGGCCACTTTCCCAGCGTCCCAGCCTGCACTCCCGGCAGGAGCAGGGATTTACGGCAGCGAGAGCCCGGGGCTGTGTCGGTGCCCCCGTAAGCAGATTACACACGCGGCTGAGTGCAAGCCGGCCTCACACCCGGGCTGTCAGCGCGGGCCCGCACGCCCAGCCTCGTCCCCGCCTGTCGCTCTGCATCGCACCGTCCCCGCGCGGTGACAGCCCGAGGGCTGCGGCGTGGGGGCACACGGAGGCAGCGGGCAAAGCCTGACCTAGGAAAGCCACCGGCTGCCCCTGAGCATCGTTCCACTGTACCACATTCCCACGGGAGGTGTTTTCCCCGGCAAAGGAAGGGAACATCCCGGCGAGGTGCTGTCCCTACCGCCAGGCTGACAGGCGTTCCCAAGCCCTCTAAAGGTGACACCCAGAATGCCACCCGCGGCACGGCCACTGTGTCACTATGGCTGAGTATCCCAGGCACAAACGCTGTCCCAAAGGCACGAACCCCGCGCAGGAGAAGCTCCCAGTGAAAGCCCAGTGCTGCCAGGATCAGGCAGCTCGCTCCCAGGGAGACAGGACCTGGGCTGTGCCTGCCCGGCCCCACCTCTGGATGCACGGGATGCTCCTGCCGCAGAATCAGGGTAGCCCCAGCTCTGCCATCCCACCCCTCAGCAGCATTCCAGATGGGAAACTGAGTCTCCCGGCAGCTCCAAGAGGAGCAGGGTGCTGGGCACACCAAGGCTGAAGGGGCAGGCTGTGGTGTGGGTCCCTGTTCTGGGCAGGGGGTCATCTTGGGCAGGTGAGCATAGGGGATGAGAGCCACAGCCCTTGGTGCAGCAGCTCCAGTCCCTCTCCCGTAGTTTGAAGGGCCTGTGAGCACCTGAGTGGAGACCCCAGGATGGGACCATGGCTCCCTGTGAGCCAGGACATGACAGCGAGGCCTGTCCAGGCTGGAAACCAGGTGAGATCTCAGCACATGGGGCTGGGCAAGATCTGACCCGCTCAGAACCGGGAGCAGAGACCGGCGGGGGATGTGGGGGNNGGGGGGGGGGAACGACAGTGCTCATGCTGCCTCCGGGCCAGCTGGGAACTGCTTTGGGGACAGAGGGATGTGGCACTGGTGACAGGGGCACCGGCTCTGCCTCTGTGGGTCCTTCTGGAGCACCTCCAGCCCCACCTCACCACACGTGCACGGGTGAGGGAGCCCAGCTGCCCGCGGTCCCCAGCTGTGACTGCTGTCTCCCCCCGATGTTTCCGAGGCTGATGTGTGCATCCCACAGCCACAGTCTGGAGCCTGTCGGGAAGGCGCTCCGTTGCGACACGCTCCGCCAGCCTCTCTGGTTTCACTGCATCCAGCTCCGGAGGAATGTGCCGGGCTGGTTCCCACGGCGGCTGCCGGGGCAGCGCGGCCGCGGCGCTCTCCACCAAGGCCACTTGTCCCCGCAGCCACAAGCCGGTGCCACGCGATCCACGGCCGCAGCCCTCTGTCCTCACCCCCACCCTGGACACAGCCCGAGGTCCCCGCGGAGACGTGGCCAGGCCGGGCGGCTCCTGCGGACCTGCCGCCGCCGCGGAGTGAGGCAGAACGGGAGATGTAGAACAAGCTCCCGCGGGCTGGGAATGCCAGCGGCGGCTCCGGACCTTGCCGGTGAGTACAGAGCCGGCTCCATGCGAGTGACGGTCCCGGCCGAGGGCCCGGCAGGGCTGGCAGTGCCACCAGCGCCGCAGCCCCGGGACCTGCCAAGAGCTGGGAACCGATGCACGGCACGGAGCCGCATCAGAGCGGCTCCCGCTGCCCACGCACGGACACCCGTGGGAGGAGCGCAGGACGGGGGGACACGCAGGTGACGCTCCCGAGCGCTGCCCTCCCGGATGCTCCGGTGAGGGGCTTGTGGCACCCCCGCCTCCCCCGGGGCTGCCGCCCTCCGGGGCCGGGCAGGTGATGCCCCGCCGCCCGTGTTCCCCCCGCGTTCCGCTGCGGCACCGGCGGCCCCGGTCCGCTCCGCCCCCGCGCACCGTCACCTTCACGGAGGGCAGCGGGCTGCGGGAGCGGGCCCGGGCTGCGGGAGCGTGCAGAGCCTGCGGCCAAAGGGCACCGGCACCGGGCACCGGCACCGGCACCGGCGCCCGGCACCGCACTGCACGCGGGTACAGGCAGCGGCGCCAGCGCTCGGCGCCGGCACCGGGACCGAGCAATGTGCACCGAGCACCGGGCACCAGGAGCAGACACCGCACACCGGGCACTGGCACCACGCACTAGGTGCCAGCATCGGGTACCAGCACCGGGCACCAGCATCCAGCCTTGGCATTCGGCTCTGGCATCGATGCCTGGCACCGGCCCCAGGCACTCGCTTTGGCACCGAGACTGGGCACCGGGCACCGGCTCCGGCAGCGCTCACCGGGCACTGGGAGCTGCACAGTGGCACAGGGTGGTGGCACAAGGCACCGAGCACAGGGCTCCAGCATCAGTGCTGGGGCACCAGCACCCGGAACAAGACACTGCAGCAGGGACAGGGTACCAGTACCAGGGACAGGGCACATGCACTGGGTATAGGGCACCAGTACTGGGTGCTGGGCATTGTCAGGACCCGGTGCAGGCAGTGGGTACAAGGCCCCAGCGCCAGTTAGTGGTGCAGGTGAAAGGGAATGGCTTCGGTGACAGTGAGTGACCTCCTGGCAGTGTCACCAGCAGCGGGCATTGCCCTGCAGGTACCAGGTACTGTGCAGGAGGCACTGGCCTCCACACCATCCACTGGCTCTTGGGAGCACTGGGCACCAGTTAGGGCGTGTTGGGTGCTGGGAAAACACCCCAGCACTACACATTCCACAGCACCTGCTGGGTACCAGGGACTGGAGACTCCACTGGGCACGGGTCACCGAATCCCAGTCTCCCAGTGTTCCCTTTGCAAAATCCCAGCCTGCCTTCCCCTCCCGAAGCCCTTCCCGGGGCTGCTGCCGAGCCATCCTACCCCTGCCAGGTGGGCTGGCAAAGGGGCCCAGACAGACACCCAGCTGGCTCTGCCCCTCTCCCCATCCCCATCTCTCCTCAGGGATGGCAGCGCCTTCCGGGGATACCCCCGGCCCCGAGCCCATGTGAGTGGCAGTGGCACGCGGCCGTGTCCCCGTGTCCCTGAGGGCAGAGAGGATGCTGGCACCGCGGGCGGGGTTGCCCGGGGCGCTCATGTTCCGGCCATGAAAGGGGCCAGGGGAGCCTTGGCCGCGGTGGCTGCTCCCCGTGGTGAGCAGCTGGCAGACCTCAGCCCTCCCCAAATTTGAGTCTCCCGGCCCAGCTGCTCCTCAGAACTGTCCTTATCCCACTTCAAACTCATTCCAAGCCAGGGAGCTGGTGAGGTCACATGCATTCCCAGCACATCCCTCTCATGGACTTCTCCTCACTTGCCTCAGTTTCCTTGCCCATGAAAAAAGCCAGTGATGATTCCCCAGGAGAAGACAAATCCAGCCCCAGGCTCTGACCGAAGTTGTGTGACTCCACAGGGACTATCTCAGCTTTGTCCCCAACCTTGTCACCGCCTGGAATCTCTTTCCCTCAGATGTTATAGATCCAGGCTGTGTCCAGATGGCTCTACATTCCCTTTATTCCCATAAATAACCATCACAGGCTCAACACAGCCTCAGAGAGCACCGGTGGCCACCTCGATCCTGTATTCGGGGTGTCCAGGCAGGGATCCTTCTCTCCTGGCACCTCATCTTGGCCGGCTGGGGGGTCCGGGCAGGGGGCAGGTAGGGGCAGGCAGGGGCAGGCAGGTGAGGATGGTTGTTTACATCCCTAATCCCCACAGCCAGCGCTTTCCTCCAGGATTACCGGGGATTAGGGGCTTGGGGGCTCCAGGAGCCCAGCCTGGGCTCTCCCTGCCCTTCAAGGAGCAGCGCCGAGCCCCGCGGGGGTGGGAGGGCACTGCCGGGTGAGCCGGGCGTTCTCAGGCCGGCACTGCCGGGATGAGCTCGGAGTTGTCGACCTGGCCAGGGGGCACAGCCCGGAGCAGCCACCCGCTTGCCACCGCCTCGCTCCGGTAGCCCAGTGCGCATCGAGGCCGGGGAGCTGCAACCTGGGCTTTACACGGAGCATTAAAAGCTGAAGGGATCAGCTGCGGAGCGGGAGGGGACACAGGGGCTGCACCTTCCTGTCTGGGAGATGACGCCAAGGGGAGAGATGGTGACGCCCAGGGAGGGTGGCACAGCTGGAGAGGTCCCCAGGGCTCCCGAGGCACCCCGGGGTCCCCCGGGCCGGCCGCAGCAGCCATCCTATGGCCCGGCCCGCCTGGGAAGTCTCCGCTCGCTACCGGGGCCCGGAGCTCTATAATTACCATGGGAGGCTGAGTTATTTTGGGAAGCGGCTTTGCTGCTGCCAAAGCTTTTATTCCTCCAAACCAAAACAAGATGGAAAGAGCCCAACCCAGGATGCTGCATCCGGCGGGCGTGGGGAGCTTAACCTCCTCGCTGCCTGCCCCGGGGCTGCCGGCTCCCCCTGCCCGCAGCGGCATCGCCCGCACCGAGACAGCGCCTGGGGCTTGGGCTGCCCGGGAGGGTTCGAAGGAGGGTCGGGGGGCAAGGTTTGGGGTCATGGAGACCACAGGGTGTCAGCCAGGCATGGAATGGGGCTGGGGTCAGTACCGTCCTCGTCTGCTGGCACATCCAGAGGCCACGTGTTCGGATGCTTCCCTGCATCTGCCGTGAGAACCTCTATTTTTAGCTCTCCCTTACAACGGGTCCATCTGGGGGCCTTCCCAGCGCGGTGGCTGGGCCGAGGAATGCCATGTGCAGGGAGTGGAGCACCTCACTGCAGTGACACATCCCAAGGGACAAAGCCCCAAGGGTCCATCCCCAAAGCCACCAAGCACAGGCAGAAGTTCTGCTCTCCCCTCTCCAAAGCAGCCAAAGAGATTCCAATCTGGGAATAAACTCATTTTTCACACTGTGGAAAGGACAAGCCACATCAGGCACCCTACAGTGCTCCCCAAGATCTGCTCCAGCACAGGGATGAGGTGGATTGGGGGGTCTGTGCTCAGAGTGGACTCTGAAAACCTGGGGTGTAGCTCCTGCCTTTTGGCCTCTTTCCCTTGGTCTGAGCCCAGAAGGGCTGCCCATGCCTGGGCTGCTCCCTGTGCTTGAGTCTAATAGGGCAGCCAATACCCAAACCCATGGTCTGGGGTCTCCCAAACCCAAAACCCACATGCCAGGGTCCCACAGCTCCCCAGCCCACATACCAGGGTCTCCCCATCCTTGGGCTGTCTCTGCAGGGAGCTCCTGCTCAGAGCATGGGGGCCTGGGAGTTCTAAGGGTCCACATTCCCCAAGTCTGGGCATGGCAGCCCTTGGAGGGGTTTGGACATGGGATGAGCTCTATAGGATGTGTCACAGCAGTGGGGAAGGTGTCACAGCCATCCAAACCCATGAGCCCATGTGGTCCCACCCAAGCCCTGCCCACACAAGGCCCCCTTCCCTCCTTGGACTGAACCTTCCCACAGCTCATCACGTGTCACCAGCTCCCAAATCCCTCCCAAAGGACTCATCAGTCCATGTTGCCCATCCCTGGTCCTGCCTGGGGACCTGGTGGCACTGGAGAATCCAGGAGCACCCACCACTTACCTCCCTCCAGAGCCCCAGTGCGAAGGGGCTGTGCTGGAGCTGGGGGAGGATGGCACTGGGACTGAGGAGAAGCCATTTTTCCCACCAGAAGCAGCTGAGGCTTTCAGGTACCTTCAGCAGTCCTCTCCCAGGTGCCTGTGTCCCCACAGGACCTGGGTCAGGGATGGGCCCCAGGAGGCAGGCAGGGCTGGCAGAGAGTGGCAGGATGGCAGAACCGTATTCCCAGGGCTGTGTTTATAAATGCCACGTTTTTGTGGACCTTTCCAAAACTGCTGGCAAATGAGGTGGGAACTGTTTCCCATGGGATTTTCTTGTCTGGATTTGGCCAGCCTCACCTCTCAGGGACTAGAGGACACCAGAGGGGGGACAGGAGCTGCAGTGACAGCCCTTCTTCCCATCCCCATATCCCACAGCCTGCTCCCGCTATGGGGGAAATTGAGGCAGACAGGTACTGACCCCCACCATTGGCCTCAGAGCTCCACCAGGGTTTTGGGCATCTGTATGTTCCCCATGGAGCCACCAGGTCCTGGTGACATGTGTGACCCAAGGAGGTGTCTCCTATCCCAGCCCAGGTTGCAGAGGGGAGGTGTGACAGTGACACCAAGTTATGAAGGGAGGGCTCAGGCTGCTCCAGAGGCACGCAAAGCCTCTGCTCCTGAGCCACAGGGAGGGATCCTGTACCCAGCGCACAGAGGCGGCTCTGGGGGCAGGGTCAACCGCGACAGACACCCTGCAGAGCCACGTGCCAGATGCAGGATGGGAGATCAGAGGGGTGGAGGACAGGAATGATCCCAGGATGTCTTTAGTCCAGCCTCTGGCTGAGGTGGAAAGGGCTCCAGAGTATCCCAGAGCCATTGCTTGCTGGAAAATCCTCATATGGGGGTAAGTCTTGCTGTGGCCAGGAATGGGGACCAGACCCCATGTCCCCAGGAACCCCATCCGGACCCCTGAGACCCTCCTCCCGCTCCACACATCCCTGTGCAGCTGGGTGTCCTGACTGGTCCCCAGCACCTCTTCTCCTTGCACATCTCAAGCCTCGTGAGGACCCTCTGCCCGTTACCCCTGGCACAAGATGTCCCCCAAGAGGGTCCCCACAGCACCAGTGCCTACCTTGCCAGGATTCCTGGAGAACCTGGCCTTCCTCATCTCCCCTGGAGTCCCAAACTTCCCCACTAGGAAGGTGACAAACCCACAGCCAGTGGTTCATGGCTGGTGCTCTCAGTTGTGTCCTTGCCAGAGCCACTGGTGCCTTCGGCCACCCCCTTGGTGGGGACACCTGGCTCCCCATGTATCACCATTCCAAACTGGTGGAATGGTGTGGACAGGACCCTACCAGAGACATCCCTGGGGGGACACAGAGCAGGACCTGGGAGGAGACAAGGAATGCAGTGGCAGCTCTTGGTGGCCTGTAACATGGTCTGGATGGCCTTGTCTCTCCTGGGAAGGGATGGCTGGAGGGGACAGCCAGGTGCTGGTGATGGGATGAGCCCCTCCCACGAGCACTCGGTCAGGCTGGACCACTGCTGAATTTGGGCACAGGGTGCTGCACACCCCTGAAGGGGACTTTTGGGTGACAGTGACAGCACGGGGCCACTGTGGCTGTGCCAGAGCCACCTCCCTGCCTGGCGAGGTCCCAGCTGGTGGCTTGGTCTGGGATGAGTTGCTGGTCACAGGGGTGACTGAGTGGCCACTTGGTGTTGTGGCCAGCTGCTGGCTCTTGGCCCAAGGGCCACCAGCAAGTGTCCCAGTGGGTGTGGTGTCCCTGACACCACCAGGAATCCCTGCACCCAGCTGGGTGAGGAGCTGGGGTGGGGGACATGGGTTTGGGGGTTCCTACTGCAGGGCTGCATGTCCCCTGGGGTCCTGCTCTCCTGTGGCACCAGGAGACAGTGGTGTTTCCTAGGTGTGATGGCCACAGTGGTCCCTCACCCCAGCATTCCCAGGGAGTGACAGTGTCCTGCTCCCAGAGCAAAGAATCAGCACAGTGGGGTGTCATCAGGGGCAGTGTGGTGTCACCAAGGGCAGTATGACAGCCTGTGACGCCAGGCAGGGTGTTGGTCCCTGTTCCTCACTGGGGTACTGGGGAACAGGCAGTCTGGAGCCATCCCAGGAGAGGGGACAGAGCCACTGTCACTACATCCCCCCACCCCATCCCTGCAGAGCAATAAACCATGAGGTTTCCTGGTGGGGGTTCCAGCCTGGATCCTGGGACCCCTTCAGGCTCCTTCCCTAGCTGCAGCATCACTGGGGACATCCTTGGGGACATCCCCCCAGGCCCATCCCTTCCCTGTCAGTCCCCCCTCAGCTCTTTGGGTTCCAGGTCTTCTCCAGCTTCCAAAGCTCACCATCCCCCAAGGATGGAGCTCCCCCACCTTGGTGACCTTAGTTTGGTTCGAGAGGTGTTGAGGACAGAGGGACAGCATGGGAGGGCCATGGCCTCCCCAGCATGAGCCACCTCACTGTTCCCTGGGGCTGGTTTTACACCGAAGGCAAATCAGCTCCATGGCACCAGTGGTCACACAACTCTGTCACCTGCCTGGCACCACCCTGGCATAACAGTGGGCACGGCCACCAGGCCAGTGAGGGGACACAGCAATTGCGGGCCCTGGTGACATAAGCAGGGATGGCACTAGTCCCAGGGCTGGGGGTACCCACAATGGAGTGGGGACAGCACAAAGGGACACAACAGTACTACCCCCATGGGGGTAAGTGAGCTGATGGGTGCCACCATGGCCAGTGCCACAGCCCCACCCTGGGCAGAGGGACTGTCCCCTCCTGCCTCAGTGTCCCCAGGAGCTCCCAGCCCCCCCGGGGGAGGCGAGCGATTGCCAACAGGCCGGGCAGCGAGCGGGGAAGGATTTATTGACTCACGGCTCAGGGTACATCACAGTTTGAGCTCCCTTCCCGCCTCCGCAGAGGACGTCACCTTGGACTTCCCGGGCAAAAGTGCACGGAGAGGCTTCACAGTTTGATCCCTTCGGGAAAGCAGAACCGAGGCAGTGACAAATGGCAAACGCTACGTTGTATGAAAAAATAATACAAACTCTTCTCTTTAAATATCTTACAGAAAAATGAACCTGAATAAAGAGCATGAAAAGCACCGCGTGGCGCAACCCCCTGGGCCCTCCAGGGCAGGGGGACCGAGATGAGCTGCAGCCCCACGTCGTCTGGAGCACCCGGCGCCGTCCCCGGGGCTGCGTGGTCAGGGCTCAGCACGGGCAGCAGAGGCGCGGGGGCCGCAGGGACCGCTACGCGCCCGTCCCCGCGCCACGAGGGTGTCCCCCATGACACCTCGCTCGGCCGAGGGTGCCGGCAGCCCCTCGAGCCCGGGGTGCCAGCGGGAGCAGCCTCAGGGACCGGCCGAGGGCGTTGCTACGAGGGTGCCCTGGGGGGCCGCAGGGTCCCTCCTGTGTCGAAGTGCAAGTTCACGGAAAGCCAAGGCACCGCCGCAAGGCCGCGGCTCTGTCCGGGGGAGCCCGGGGGCTCGGGCGGGGCAGCCCCGCTGTGCAAAGGGGAGGTGAGCCGGGGGGGACACGGGGACGGGGGACGGTCCCCACGGTGCGGCCAGCCGGGCTGGTCCTGGCGGTCAGAGCTACGGCGTGGGGGGTGCCCAGGGCCATGCGGCCCCGGGGAGAGCCAGCTCCCCGGGGTGGGCAGCAGGGTGGGGGCGCGTCCAGGGGCCCGGGGATCCAGCCCCGGGGTGAGGCAGCCCCAGGAGCGGCTGGTGGCGGGCGCAGCTCCTTCTCCCGCGGCTGCAGAGGGGTGCAGGTGGGGGCTCTACCGCGGGGCCGCGGGCAGCCCCCCCTCCCGCCGGTGCGTCTCCCCGAAGGCTCGGTCCAGCTGCTCCAGCTGGGAGCTCAGCGGCAAGTGGATCTCCAGATGCATGCGCAGCGTCT